CAGACTAACCTGAGCACAACAAAGCCCCCACCCAAACAGAACACTCCCCCAGCCAATCAGAGCACAGCCAACTCCCCAGCCAATCAGAGCACAGCCAAGCTCCTAACCAATCGGAACACACCTCCATCCAATCAGAACACAGCCAAGCTCTCATCCAATCAGTTCATACCCCCACTGGCAGTTAAAAGGAGGAAACAGCTACAACCACACATTGCTCCTAGAAGCACGAAGCCGAAAGCACCAGCCTGAAGATGACGACTGAGACTTCGTCGAAACGTCGCCAAGACACTTCCAATTTTACGTGGGAGAAAACCCGAATAACCAAAGACCTACATACAAACACCCGCGAAAACCTCAGAAAACATATTTCTGAGGTTTTCGCGGATGTTTGTATGTAGGTCTTTGGTTATTTGGGTTTTCTCCCGCGTCCAATATATATATAGCGAGTAGACTTTTCCTTGTTGCCTTCCCATCAGTTCTGCTGCAATTGCAACTCTCTGGATCAAATTCAGATCACATCTGGATGGTGGGGAAGGGAAGGAGTCTCCATTCCTTATTCTTAAGGAACCCACTCAATTGGTCGGAGAATTTTGTAATTTATAACTGTCTAATAATGTGATGTAATTTGCAAAGTTACAATAATTACAAGAATGCACTTCTACAAAAATTAACATTTTCTGCATAAATCATAGGCCCAATATAATAGTGGAAAATATTTTCCTGCATTTCTTTTACATTTTAAAAATAGCTTGATAATAAAGTTAATTAACATTAACTGTCTAGAATTCCTATAAAACAGTATTTTCATGCCAATAAGACTTGAAATCAGACAAGTACAAATAATTAGGAGTGTATATTTACAAGAATTTGGTGCAGCTTTTATATTTTATATTTCTTCCAAAGAAGTCATTTAGTTGTCAGCTGTAATTTAATGTGTCATGAATAAATTAGGTTTCTCCTGGAATTGCTGTAAAATGCAGTGTGCTGCCATCTAGTGACAGCCCTCCCTCCCCTCCCCCCAAGGGAGTAGCATACATTGCATTCTTATGAATTGGGAAATCAATTTCTTTCTAATAAAAAGCACAAGTAGATTACTAAGAATAAAGAATAAAATGAGTGAAAAATGCATATTTTATTAATTGGGCAGTGATCTGCATTGGAAGGAGTCATTTGGGCCATTGGTCCCTCAACCTTTGGGTTCAGCTGTCAAACTGCTCTTTACTCTTAGGACTTTTTTTTTTTCTTTCTGTTGGTCAGAATCTGCCTTCCAGAATGCAAATGCATCACTCTGTGTCTTAAACTCTAGAAGACAAGAAAACAGGAGTTGGTCTCTTGCATGACGTCCTTTCACATATTTGAAGGATGTTATCATATTCCTCCTCAGATGTCTTTCCTCAAAGCAAAAGCTATCCGGCTGCTTTCATCTCCTGTCATCTTTGTTAGCCCTTCTCAAATCATGTTCCATGTTATTTGATTCCTCCATCAGACGTGGTGGCCAGAACTGGACACGGTATTCGAGGTAGAAGAAGAAAGCCGTGCAACTTCCCGCCACAATTTGAAAGTTATATTTTAGTTCATACTGCCTAAAATCGGGTCTGTTTTGCCACATCTCACAATTTTGATTCATCCCCTGAAATTAATTATTGTTCAAAAATATTTTTTTTCATATGTAATAGTATCAAACCAAATATTCTCCCATTCCATGCCCATAAGTTTGATTTTCCTTTTTTAAACGAACTACAGATTTGTCTGCTGGACTTCATTTGGTTGCTTTCAGCTCATTCCTCAAACCTACCAAGATTGTTTTGAATTTTATTTCTCTCCTCTAGTGTTTACCTGTCTCACTCAATGACATTTAATAATAATTTTTTCCACTTCTTAGCACCAAAAGGACTTGAGACTTGTGCCACCCTATTCAATATCTCTAGCCAATCTCTGGTGATAAAAGTATTGATGTATGAGGATGAGTATGATTTTCAAGCTAGTTATATGTTCAGTTAGTCAACATGCTACTCCGCCCACATTTAACTAATTACTCGATATTTGGTGCTTAACCAGATATTTTGCTTGAATCAAAATATATTACATTCCACATTCTGTTAAAAGAGATACCTGATAAACTGATTAGGTATGAACTCTAATACAAGTAGTCTTCATTTAGCAACTGCCTCAGATAGTGTCCATTGAGAAATGAAACAGTAATAAATGGTAATAAAAAATAATAATTTTCTGATCAATGGACACATTTATGACAACAAAAGGCTTCAGTGTAAAACTGATTAAGATTTGGTCAGTTTTAGACAGTAGGTGTTAACTGGCAGGTTATAATTTAAGGTCATAGAGCTGAGATTGTTAACTTGAAGTTAGCACTGCCCTGGGGAGCAAAGCAGCTCAGGAAGAGTTAGCTTGTTTAAGTAATTTCTCTGTCCTGTAAGGGGACAGAACAGGGGGAAAAATGAGACAGGCGCAGGGCACTGTATGAAGGGACTTTAATTGAATGAGATGGCAACAGTCAGCAATCTTTGAAGCATATCTTTCTCACACAGAGACACCCAAACACAAACACACATACATAGAGACACACAGTTCACTTACTAACTATTTTTCCTGACCAATTGCAGTCACTAAACAAGGACTACCTGTATAACAGGAGCATATAATTTAGATGCAGAGAGCAAAGACCACAGCCTGGCTTCAGGAAATAAAGAGAGATGCAGAAATTAGATTATGCTTTCTTTACATGAAACGGCTCACAGCTTAAAATGAGAAGAGCTATTAATTGCCTATCATCACATTCATAAATAAAAAATTATGTTCATCACACTACAAAAATATACTCCGTATTAATCATAATGTGGAGTGGAGTTGGAAAACAACTGTCTGTATGGGTTTGAATACTGAAATATGAGCTCTCCAGAGCAAAAGATGCATTTTTGTAGTCATCTAACCTTTTTGTTCTCTTTCCACCTCTCTCTTGTCTTTGTTATCAACCAATTAAAACAGGAGACTCGGTCTCTTCTAGTAAAATGTAAGGCTGGTGCTTAACTACTTCCCTTTAATTTAGATTCACCTTTCTAATATAAAGGGGACATAGAACATAAATCTGTATACGATTATGTTACAGCAGAATTGCTTGGCTGCGGAATGGCTCTTGCCCCTGCTATATAAACAGGAAAAAGCAGACTGCAAGGAAGGTGGGGGTGGGCAAATCAAAAATGTTATGACTGCCTTGGCCTTAAAACTGGAAATCAATACTGTAACTGGATTTTAAAGAACGCTTTGGTGCTGCCTTAATCCTTTTTAAAAGAGAGACATTAGTCTGGATTTCTTTGGGCCAGGCACTCTCTCTCTCAGCCCAAACCACCTTATAGGATTGTTGTTGTGGGAAAAATAAGAGGAGGAAGGAGTATTGTGTATGTTCATTACCGTGAGTCATTTATAAAATAAAGGCGGGATTAGATAAAATTTTCTGATTGTACTTGTAATTTTCATTAATTGACTTATCCAAATACTACTCATACTCCCCCTCCCTCCACCCCCAATTGGAGTATCCCTGTATGCCATGCCTCAGTGGAAAAGCTGGTGAGTCTGCCTGAAAGCAGAGTAGGTGTTAGGGCTTTGCATCTGGCAGCATCTCTGTTGGAGAAAGGCGGAGAGAGGAACAGATGGCAGGAGGCACCTTACTGCATATGGAGTTTCTGTGTCTGAAGAATGCATTTAAAGCCTCCCCTCCCCTCTCGGGTCTGTTATGGCCGCAGCTAGCCAGAGATCCACACCTGGACCTGGACCTTCCAGAGAAACATGTAATACAATGTTGGGAACAACTGAAGGGTGTGAAGGAGAGGGGCAAGAGGGAGGCAGGCAGGCACAGGATCCTTGCCAGGTATTTGCAGAATTGTTACCTCCAGGCCTGTGTGCAGAACTATGAAGCCCTTTCTATAATAGAATTTCTCTGTATTTGCTCCCATTCAGGGTACTTAATTTTTAATCTCCGATCAGTGCCTGTTTTGTGGTGTTTTATTCTAACCCAGCCTGAGTTTAAGAACTTGTCAGATTAGAAACACAATACATAAAAATAAAAGAATGGGAGCCCAATCATACCGCTTCCTCATTGGTGTTCTTAGCTATTGAAAATACGTTTGCAGAATTAATTTTCCAGCACTGAAGTGATTTTTGTTCTGTTTTTTTTTTTTAACTGAATTTTTGAAGACGCACATTGAAATGGAGACCAAGATATCTCCATCAGGAAGCTTATACATGATGAACAGATAGACATTCCTAATTGCCCCTTTTTAAAAAGGCATTCTTCAGAAGCATTGAGCAGTAATCAAAAGGAGGAGGATGGGGGTTCCTACTCTTTCACTGAGCCCCCCCCCATCCCAGCTCCGCTGAGCTCATTTGAAATTCCCTTCATTTAGCTGTAGCAACGGCTCCCTCATGAAGCAACACATAAGCTGTGGCTATTTTCCCAGCATGAATAATTTTCAGAGTGTTGGAAATCTGGCCGACAGAGCAGTTGGCACCATAGAAGAGGTTTGCTTCCCTTGCAGAACGATAAGGAACAATTTGTGTCTGTGTGCCTATTTGTACACGTGTGTATGTCTTTGTGAGAGAGGGAGAGAGAGGAAGGAAAGAGCCAAAGGATGCTTATTGTGATCCTGGCAGATGTAAAACTGTTGCTTGCCGAAGCCTCCCTGAATTTGATTCAACTTTGGGGCTGCTTTGTCCTATGTGCTGTGTGCCTGCAATAGAAGCAGTGAAACATCTCTCTCACATGGGGCTGTCTCTTCTTGTGTGTCCGCTCCCTCTGCTAGGTGCCAAGAAAATTGGAAATCTTGTCATTATATTTTCAGGCGCGGTCTCCTTCCCATTTTGAAGATTTCTGCTTCCATCTGTTTTATCATGCACGTCTACAGCTTCACTCACTTTAAGGTATATGAAGTACAGAATAAATGTTGACTTTGCCTCCCTCCCCCTTTGTGCTTGCTTTTACCCCTTAGGACTATGTGCTTGCTGTGGAGACATATCACACCGTCATGAAATATTACCCAGAGCAAGAGCCTCAGCTGTTGAGTGGAATTGGAAGGATTTTCCTGCAGGTATGTACCTGATTCTGAATAATGCCACATGAAAGCCCTGCTGAGCCCCATCACATTAGTATCAACATAGGAGAGGTTTTAAAGTGCCCTAATTTTAGATAGTTAGATGGGTGAATTCTGCCGTTCCGTGAAACAAAAATAATGACAAAGTATTGCTGAAAGATGTAAAACAGATGGCTGCATCAGTACCAAATAAGTCTAGAAGAAAATATGAGGTGAATGTTCTTACAGATCAGGGAGAACTTCCTAGGCTTGTCCACCTAGCTTCTTGCTATTCCAGAATACCTTCAATTTAAATGTAATGAGCACTCTGTCGGTTATTATTGAATGAAAATGTAGTAGTTGAAACAACAAACTCTCTAAACTCATTGAATTATCTGGTGAGCATTGTTTTGCAGACTAGCTGTTCCCTATTCAATAAGAGTGCTGGGTATTTGACATTTTCCACTCTGTTATAAACACACAGACACTGAATGATGAATGGGGTGTAATAAATAGGCCACATTTTTCTATGGAATTCATGAAAGTAACTTTTCATTCCCCAAATTGCAATGCCAAATTCTCTGTAGTGGTCCTCAAGAGAAAGAAAAGGACCCTTTTGCCCTCTTAGCAACAGGCAGCCCTAGCCACATCATCTAATCAAGGCAAGGTGTATAGTTCACATAGCCAGCCAAATTATTTTCACATAAAGGAAGAAAATCCTTAACATTTCTCCCATTCCTGTACAGTAACAAGCAAATATTAACAATAAGTTGCCTGAGGTGCTGTCTCACTTTGCCTGCTTCCATTTCTGTCACAAACTTTTTTGATAGGAAAATTTATATTTTGGTTCCCTGTGGCACTGGTGCTTTTAAAAAGATCAATGCTTCTTCAGCATGAAATCTGTGCTTCTCTTGTTTTCTGCCCCTGTGACTTTATTACCAAAAGAAAAGTTCTGTTTTCTGCATAATAACAAACACAAGAAGGGATATTTAATTGCCCCTTGTTACCTCAGCCATATTGAGCTTGCTGCTGACAGTTCACTGAATCAGTCAGTTACAAATGGAGTAACACTGAATCAGACCATAAACCTTCAAGACGTTTCAGCTGAAATTTAGTCACTTGTAAGATGGGATGGGACAATCCACTTTCTTCACAAGTGGAGACTCCCAAGAAGGCCCCCAAGATATTTTTATAATTTTATAATATTTCAGAGTTTCCTCATTTTTATAATTAAATTGAAGTTTAATATTTGATTATTGAATATTTTAATATTTGGTTTTGAATAATAGGTATTAGGCACTTTGTAATAAATTCTGGGAGGTGGCTGGCAATTAGAAATTAATTCATTCAGAATACGGTAGTAATAAAACCTGTTGTAGTTGGTAAAAGCTGTTGTAGTTTGTAAAATCGTTATGAAGGATAGCTTTGGGATGAAGCACTAAAGCTCTTGAAAAATAAAAAGGAACTTGGCCTGGCATCAGAATGACACTAAGATAAGGGATGGATATGACGTATGAGAAAGTCCCCCTTTGGAGGCTCTTGAGAAGGAAATTCAGAAAGAGATCTTGAGGCTGAGGAGTTCCAGATGGGGGAGTCATCTCCCAAGTGTCCTGTTCCCAAGCCATGAAGAATGAAATCCAGCCTCTACAATTGGGTTAGATGGCAAGTACACCGAAGGAATCTGTAGCATTTGGATCAGGGCAAATTGCAAAGAAATGTCTCTTTTAAAAAAAAAAAAAACCCAGTCCTCTTTTGATTAAAAGAATATTATCATTAGGTGATTCACATTGAAAATAGCCTGTCGCGGGCAGAATATTAAAACATTTGTCAAATCATTCTTCGAAAAACTGCTTGTGTCCTCTTACGTTGACGAACAGAGTTGCAATCCATCAAGTAAAATAGACGAGGTTCCCTTTAGGAGACTGTTCTGAAGAGAGGAGCTGACTTCTCAACATCGCTCTTTCTCTACTAAGAGCCATCAGAGGCTGGTTTGCTGAAAGGCAAGATTCCCAACCTTGGGTAGGATGCAAGGAGACTGCCTGATGTCTCCGAGGAACAATTTGTCTATCCAATTCATAGAACAGTGTTAACAGGCTCTGAAGGGACTCCGGTCTTCCTCAATTCTTGCTCTTATCAGGGGCCTTGGGGGAAGAAAGATTATTGGACATTCTTGAATTAGTGGTTTTACTGTCATAGTGGGACCTTTTCCTTCCAGTGCAATAGAATTGAAGACAAAGCCCAAGAAACCCACTGGCTTGCTTACATAACCTTGAACAATAACACTTGAAAAGCCTGTGGCTTTACAAAGGGGTCTGGAATCGTGGCATCACGGAAGCCGCCTCTCATTTGCCAGGAGGCCATGTCTGTGTGCAGGCTGCACAAGAAAAGCTGCGAAATTGTGAAATTGGGAGGGAGGGAGAGGGAGTTGGTTGGCTGGTTAGATTTATATCTTGCCCTTCTAATCTGATGTGTACTTTTAATTTTCTTACCACAGAAGACAGTGCTAAAAGTTAAAAATGTAAATCAAACTAGCATGAATTCAAATAACTATTAAAAACCTGGTTGAAAAGAACTGTTTTTAATTGTTTTCTTAATTCTTTGAGAGTGGGAATCTAAGTACATCCCCTCAGGGAACACATCCCACAGCTTGGGAGCAAAGGAAAGGAAGACTGTCTCCTTTGTGCCAGATAAAGGGCCATGCAAGAGCCTATCTTGCAGATCCTAACTGCCAAATAAGTTCTTGACAGTGATGACTCTCCAGGTATACCCCAAACAATTTGCCAACTTGTTTCTCTTATTTCACCCAATAAGTGAGGTGCCAGTATAAAAAGGTTATCACCCTGCCCCCCATATTCAGTTAAAGGAATAACTAGGGCTAGATGTGCACAGTATGTACTTCATTAGATTAGACAACTGGAGTTGGCGTGGACCTCTTCTGCACCATGTCTCATATATTAGCTCTCATCATTACAGTGAAGTTCTCACAACACAGATTCTACAGGGATATATGTCCCATTGAAAAGATATTTCAAAGATCTTTCATACGAAGTAGTTGCTGCTTACTGTATCAGTCTGGAAAACATTACAAAATCAGTTCTAAAATGTTGGGGCTCCACCAATTCATGTTCAGTAACTCAGGAAACAAAGATTTTTGAACAATAAAAATAGTTCAAAATTACTCCCAAGTGCGCAGCATGAAATCATCCAAGGAATCACAAGAACCCCAGAATAACTAATAGGGATATTCAGGCCATTCTTACCTTGGCTATTCCAGCATCAAAAACAGTAAAAACAGGATTGATGGGAGAATTGTTGTTGTTGTTGTTAATTGCGAAGTCGTGTCTGACCCATCGCGACCCCTTGGACAACGTTCCTCCAGGTCTTCCTGTCCTCTACCATCTTCTGGAGTCCATTTAAGTTCACACCTACTGCTTCAGTGACTCCATCCAGCCATCTCATTCTCTGTCGTCCCCTTCTTCTATTGCCCTCAATCTTTCCCAGCATTAGGCCCTTCTCCAGTGAGTCCTTCCTTCTCATTAGGTGGCCAAAGTATTTGAGTTTCAACTTCAGGATCTGGCCTTCTAAAGAGCAGTCGGGGTTGATCTCTTCTAGGACTGACCGGTTTGAATGCCTTGCAGTCCAAGGGACTCGCAGGAGTCTTCTCCAGCACCATAGTTCAAAGGCCTCAATTCTTTTGCGCTCAGCCTTTCTTATGGTCCAACTTTCACAGCCATACATTGCAACTGGGAAAACCATGGCCTGGACTATACGCACTTTTGTTGGCAGGGTGATGTCTCTGCTTTTTAGAATGCTGTCTAGATTTGCCATAGCTTTCCTCCCCAGGAGCAAGCGTCTTTTAATTTCTTGGCTGCAGTCCCCATCTGAGGTGATCTTGGAGCCCAGAAAAATAAAATCTGTCACTACCTCCATTTCTTCCCCATCTATTTGCCAGGAATTGAGAGGGCCGGATGCCATGATTTTGGTTTTCTTAATGTTGAGTTTCAAGCCAACTTTTGCACTCTCCTTCTTCACCCGCATCAAGAGGCTCTTTAGTTCCTCTTCACTTTCTGCCATTAGAATGGTATCATCTGCATATCTTAGGTTGTTGATATTTCTCCTGGCAATCTTAATTCCAACTTTTGATTCATCTAGCCCTGCCTTTCTCATGATGTGCTTTGCATATAAGTTAAATAGGCAAGGCGACAGTATATAGCCTTGCCGGACTCCTTTTTCAATTTTGAACCAATCAGTGTCCAGTTCTCACTGTTGCTTCTTGACCTGCATATAGGTTTCTCAAGAGACAAATAAGATGGTCTGGTATTCCCATCTCTTTAAGAACTTGCCACAATTTGTTGTTATCCACACAACCAAAGGCTTTAGCATAGTCAATGAAGCAGATGTTTTTCTGGAACTCCCTAGCTTTCTCCATGATCCAGCATATGTTGGCAATGGTATGATGGGAGAATAGAAGTCCAAAATTATGGCTCACAAGAAGAATACTGATGTTTATTCAGGTTTGCCAAAAAGTACCTGGTATCCTCTTACCTTCTTAAGGAATGTTCCATGGGGAGGTGAATCAAAAGTAGAACTATGTCAGATAAAAATCAAATACTGCATTCCCTAATAAGATTCTCATTTCAGCTATTAAGCACTGAAGTGATAATGTCATGGTTTGGGGTTCTTTACCTTAGGATCTGGGTAACCTGCCATCACTAAAGGAAGCATAAATTCTGCCTTGTATCACAGTGTTTTACAGGTGAATTATCAGGCCATATTCTCATCCGTTAAAAAAAACTGCAAGTAGCAATAGCTCTTAGTAAGAGCTCTTAATCTTATATACTGCTCCATAGTGCAAGTAGGCATAGTACGGAGAAAGTGATTTCAAATATACAGGCAAGTTTATACAGGTAGACTTCATTTAATGACTGTCTTGCTTAGCAACCATTCAATGTTATGACAGTGCTGAAAAAAAGTAACTTTACGACCAGTCATTGCACTTCTGACCATTAGAGCATTTCCGGCAGTCCTGTGATTGTGCTTCAACCAGCAGGCATTTATGACTGTCACAGCATCCCACAGTCACATGATCAGTAGCTGCACACTTCACACTGTCAGCTTCCAACAAGCAGAGTCAAGGGGAGAGCTGGCAGTAAAATCACAAGTCGTGGTGATTTCTCATTTAATAGCCGTGTTACACAGAGTTGCTGGTCCCTATTGTGGTTGTTAAGCAAGAAATGTAAGAGAATAGATGAAGAACAAATTCAGGATTTGGGATGGCCAGGTCAGAGTCTATATCTAAGTACCAATATGAGAATCTAAGGGGGAATGAGGCTTTTTTTTTTAGATTGGCAAATTCTACGATAGATCACTATTTTTCATTCAGTCTCTTGTCACAGTGAAAAAGAGTGGCAAAAAAATATTCAGAAAATTCAGAAGGATATAAGTGCATCTGCACAGAACTTTCCTCTGGAATCTGCGGAAGTTTATTCCAGTTTAGACTGTTATACAGTCTCCTCTTGTAATATTCCCAAAGCAATCAGATCTTGAGACCACATACAAAAGATAAAGTCTCCAACTGAATGTTGCCCAACAAACATGCTTCTGGAAACTTGAAAAGACTCTTGAGTTTCCTGGCTCTTTGGGACTGCCCAAAGCCCTTGGCAGCCCATAATATATAACCAAGAAGCTGTTTTCCTTTGAGCAATAAGCTCCATCTTGCAGCAAGGACAAAACAATAATCAAATAAAACTGTAGCCCATAATGACCCACTTTTTATATCCTTTTTTTCACTGCGTGCAGTAAATTGTGCTGGAAATTGGAATTATTTTCCTGCTCGCTTTCTGACCCTCTATATAGGCCACTGAGCCAACAGTAATTAAAACCCTGCCTGCTTTCCTTTTAGAGAACTTGGTCCATCTAGATCTCAGCTACTGAGATGCAGGTGTTTGAAGGAAGGAAAATCACCACTTCATTTAGTCTATGGAAAAGTTAGAATGGACGCAGATAAACACCATTTGAATAAGACATTTACTGTGGACTTGTTCTTGCTGGCTTTTGGGCAGACATCAAACCTTTCTCAAATTACTGAACTTTGAGAAGCAACTGATCTTCTCTGTGTCTATAGAAAATGTCTCTTGTAACAATCGCAGAACCGTTTTCAGTTCAGAGTAGTGTGTTTGTAAATGGAGGAATGTATTGGCTTTCTAAGGCCACTGATAAACATTTATATAAAATGCCTGGAATAAGAACTGGAAGGTTGTTTAATCAGCACTAGGAACAAGATACTGTAGGTACGAGGTGCCTTAACTGGAAAAATAAAAAGGGCTAAATAGCCATACCTCATGACATCTCTGTGTCAGAACAAATTTATAAACAAATTTGTGAACAAATTTATCTGGGTTTTGGTTCTCTGGAATATTTTCTTGAATATTACTGAGCTATTTCTAAAGAATTTCTATTTAAGATTTGATGTAATTGGAGTGAGCCAAGGGCTAGATAGCTCTGAGAATCAGTATCTTCCACTGCTGCACATTGTCACACTTTGAGACCTAGAGTGTATGTGTGTGTGTGCATGTATTAAAATCAATGTTGACCCAAACCACTAATTTTACCTATGTATTGATTGGGTTAGAGTTGGTGTTTATATTTGCTGTATGTTACATTTTTCTCTTCTTTTGCTCCATAGTGTTGAAAGTAATTTATTTATGAAGACCTACCTATTGATGAGTCTCTCTTGTGCTTTGTTAATAGAAGTAACTGTTTTTTACCATTTATGTGCTATCCAGATTGGAGACATTAAAATGGCCGAAAAGTATTTTCAAGATGTTGAAAAAGTGGCTCAGAAATTGGATGGACTGAAGAACCAAATTATGGTTTTAATGAACAGGTGGGAGACATAAATGCCAAATTAATCTTAGACATGATTTTGCAAAGAATGCACTGTGAACATTAAGAGGCCCAAGAGAATACCCCTTTCCCTTCATTTATCTTTTATGTAACCTCAGCTGCCAGAAGAAAAGCTGATTGGCACCTACCAGCCTATGAGATTTGTATGATACAGTGTAACCCTGAAAAAAAAAAAACCTTATTACAAGTTGTCTTCCTTGACGTGTGTGTGTGTGTGTGTGTGTGTGTGTGTGTGTGTGTGTGTGTGTTCTAGCCACTTTCACATGCAAATTTACTGCTGTATCAGCTTTACAGATTAATGCTGCAGTGCAGACTTACCTATAGCTACTAAGAAGAACCATTTAACTCCATGGAACATTGAATGTATCGGATCTAGAGTTGTGCTTAGCAAAATGTCATACATACTAGACGAATTTCATACATACTAGAGGAAGATGCCTTCCTCACTTTGAGCCTTCTCTCCTTCAGTTCCTAGTTTCTCAAAGTTGTACAGCATTATTGGGAGCACTTCTAAAAAGTATGCATGCTTGCTCTTGGAATAGAACATCAAAGAAACTAGCTAAAATCGCTCATTGGAAGCTTCCGTGGCTCCCCTTTTTGTCTGTGAACAAAAAAAAAAATAGTTATTGAAGTGTACTCATTTAATATGTTTTAAGTGTTTATCTAAAATTGTGAAGGCCACAAACATATTTGCAAAAAATATATAGGAAACAGAATCTGCTGAAGAATTCCCTCGTAAGTTGGAACTCAACTAATGGTCACCTCTTCATAATGTATGAATTAGCTACTTTATCAAGCCATAGCTTCATGTTGCATTGTTTAATCTGAACTCTAAATTATAATTTAGATCCAAGATTAATTTTTGAAGATCAACTGAGAGAATGTCCATGTGTATGAAAATACAAGAATGTAGTTTCTTTTATAACTGAGTCATTTTCTGAAAGAGTACACACATTCTTTCTCTTCTTCTTACTCTTATTATGTTTTAGAGCATTTCTCCATCTTGGTCAGAATAACTTTGCAGAAGCTCACAAATTCTTCACAGAAATTTTGAAGATTGATCCATCGAATGCTGTGGTAAGAAATCTTAATGTTAAATATATAGCAATGGCTCATAGGCTTTAAAAATATATTGTCCTTTAATGTCTTGATTTATAATACCATATGGATATACAGGTAGTCTTTGACCAACAACTATAATGAAGCCTGCCATGAGTCATGATAGCCGTTAAGTGAAGCCACATGGATCACCTTACTTACAATGCCCCATCTCTGTTCTTCCTGATGTTGTTAAGTGAAGCATGGGGTGCCTCAGGGGCCCTAAGGCAGGCCTTGGGAGACCTAGCATTGGCCCTGCCCTGGACCTCCCAAGGCCTCCCCCATCTCCTGAAGTACACCATGCTCCAATTCCCACTCTTCTGGCCTCATTAAATTATAGCTTCTCAAAGAAATGGTGGTCATTTCCAGAATTGCGCCATGTGGCCCAGCAATGGAACTGCTTGCTATGCTTCCCTAACATAAGCTCCAGAGCACTGCAGAATGCTGCAGAGCTTGTGTTAGGGAAGAAAAGCCAGCCGCCCTGTTACTAGACAGTATGGCATGATTCTGGAATAAGCTGCAATTTTCAGGGCAGCCACTTTGAATTATGGCTGCTCAGAAAATAGCAACCACTTTCAGAATCATGCCACGCAGCCTAGCAATGAAGCAGCTTGTCCTTCTTCCCTAATCCAAGCTCTGGAGATCTTCTAAAGGTAAGTGTGATGGATGATGTGGGTGAGGAGAAGGGTGTGGAGCATGGTGGAGTGTGGACCAGGCTCAAGGCCTGCGGAGATCCTATTTGGGAGATGGCAGGGAGATAAGTAGTTGGTTATAAGGACAGTTGCAAAAGCACTGCAGCCATCATAACTTTGGGACCACATCACAAGTAACAGGGTGTCTGCCTTAACTTTGAACAGTCACTAAGCATCCGGTTGTAAGTCAAGGAATAATTGTATACATTGAGGTAACAAGTATCAGTACTTAGCATAATCAGAATTTGTTTTGTGAACTTCACTGGAATGATGCAGAGTAATATACAGTTCAACCTTCTCCAATCTGGAGCCCTCCATATGGATTGAAATATAAACTCCCAGAATTCTCAGCAATGAAGACAGCATCCAAGTCCCTTCCCAAAATCAAAGCTTGGATAAAAAAGTATTTAAAATGTGCTACGTTTTCTCTAGAGTGATTCCTTTAGATTTTATAAAGAAATCTAATATATCTATTTTCTCTAGGCTAACAACAATGCTGCTGTTTGTCTTCTTTATCTGGGAAAACTGAAGGATTCCCTCCGTCAGCTGGAAGGGATTGTTCAACAGGATCCTAAACACTATCTCCATGAGAGTGTTCTCTTCAATTTGACAACCATGTACGAACTTGAGTCTTCTCGCAGCATGCAAAAGAAACAGGCTCTACTTGAAGCTGTAGCTGTCAAAGAGGGTGACAGCTTCAACACACAATGCCTCAAGTTAGGATAAGCCCATCCATTTCTTTTTTGCTAAAGCTCATTTCAGAAGCTGTATATACCTCAGCTAATCTGTAAATGTTCCTCCAGCAAGTGCAATAAAAAAGCTCTTTAATTATGAATATATGGTAAAATTGTTGTAATATAGGAATTTATACACTGGTCTGTATATCATCCTCGGGATTTCCTGATAATCTACCATCAAATTCATCCCTGAAGTTACTGCCAGCTTATAGTGTAAACCAACCATCAAAAGTATTCAGATGGAGTTTTTTTCCTGTTAATAGTGACCTATATAAGCTAATTTGTCTTGATGGCTTTTGTTCTAAAGACATTCAGGATGTAGTGATTGTGTGTATAGAATTGGAGGTCAGTGGGGTGATGAATGGAAAAGGTTGCAATAAAATAGGAAATTATAAAGACAGGCTCCTGTCTAGGTTTTTTTCTCTCTCTCTCTCTAAAGCAGTGCACCCACTCAACCCCCACAAACTATCCCCAAATTGTTTTGAGAAGAATTATGGGACACATCTTCCTTCACCTATTTCAACCAGGCCTGCTCAATATGAAAACCTGCCATTTTGCCTTGTAACTTTACCCAATTAAGCAAGAAATTATGCCTAAATATTAATACTAGCTTTTCTTTGCTTTTGTGACCAAAATGCATCAGGATTTACCCAAACATGTCAGAATAGGGGGCCCGATTGTATTTATGGTAGAACAGACTCATCTAAAGAAAGAATCTGTTTATAATTCATTCATTAATCTTCTCTCCAAATTCTTCCCTTAAAGATAAGGAATTTTGTCCATCAAATGAATAAACAGCATTTGCAAGCAAAAATAATTTTATCTCTGAACATGCCCTCCAAGACCCCCACTTGCCCCTAAAATTAGCTTTGAAGGTTATTCCAGGACAAATTGGGAAACACAGAGAGGGAGAGAACAATACATTCTATTGGGTGAGCAGAAACCTATTCATTTCACCTGGGATGTGGTCCATTGATTTATTACCAAGTAAGCTCAAGAAGCTAATTATTTGAAGGTAGGGATAACTTGTTCAGATGAAAGAGGTAGATAGAAACTGGATTCACATATCACATCCAGTCACAGCTTTCCCAGTTATGATTTGTTAAATAATGGGGGCCCACATCACTTTGGGTTTACAATCAGTGGCTGCATATCTTAAGCTTCTGTTTTCATTTGTTTGTTAGCCACCTGGGATTATTTTATGTAATACAAATGGCTGTATATATTTTTCAAATAGATAAATACAATTATAACACCCTAAGGAAAAAAAAACAAACCAATCACACTTAGGCCAAGGGCAATATGATTCATCCAGAATGTCAGTACAAGAATGTCAGTACAAGAATATAAGATTAAGCTAAGCATCCTTTCACTTGAGAAGAATGGAGCAGAACTGAATGGTGTTCAAACACAGAAATTCATTTGTTTGTTAGCCACCTGGGATTATTTTATGTAATACAAATGGCTGTATATATTTTTCAAACAGATAAATACAATTACAACACCCTAAGGAAAAAACAACAAACCAATCACACTTAGGCCAAGGGCAATATGATTCATCCAGAATGTCAGTACAAGAATATAAGGTTATAAGCTAAGCATCCTTTCACTTGAGAAAAATAGAGCAGAACTGAATGGTGTTCAAACACAGAAATTCTCTTCTGCACACTTAAGAGGCAGAGGGATAACAGGCCTAATTATTGTGGCCATCAGACTGTACCAGTTGCCTTCCAATATGTTGCGGACTGCTTTATTTCCTCTCTTTTGCCAAGTTCTGTGCCACCCTATGTGCACATTCCCACATAGGTGCATCCACAGAAAAAGCCGCCTACAATGCTGGAGGGAGGCAGCAAGTATATTGTACAGATTTGTCTGCCTGGATGTATCTATAATGCATAAAGTGCTGGCAGAGCGTGTCAGCAGGTGCGCTGCTCTTATTGCTATGCTCCTCACACACTGCCCGCCAGCGAGCCCTGGATAATTCCAAAGGTTACTGTGACGGGTGACTGAATAGGCGACGAATTGACCTGCTTTAGAGGTGAAAATGAGGAAGCCGCCTCTCCGCCAGCATTAAAAGCCTGCTGCTGCTGCTGCTGTTGCTGCTTGAAAAGCCAAATTAAAATAAGGGACCTATTAAAACAAGAGAGCTGCCATTCAAACCAGACGGCGGGGAAGGAGGAAAGGGGGAGGAGATGGATTGCCTGCCTGCCAGCCAGCCAGGCGCACTGCAAAGCTGTTGCCGGCCCAGCTGATGTTCTGTTCCTGTTGTGCAGAGGCAGCCGGGCTAGCCGGGCGGGGAATAACGAGCTCGAAAGGATCCCGGTACAAAAGGGGAGATGACGATACGGCCCCGCTGGAGGACTAGTTCTTCTGCGGGCCGGGCTGTTGAGCTATTGGTTGCCGAGCCTATTGGGGGGGAGGGAGAAACGAGCCATCTTCCAGCTGGGATGAAAGAAAAAAAGAAGAGGGAGCGAGCTCAGGTGTGATTGTATAAGCAGTAAAAAGGTGACTTATTGGTTGTCAGGAGTACTGCGGAGGGTGGGAGGGGGAGTTCATTCCTTAGTCGGTTTCCCGCCAATTTGCACAGGCAGCCATTTGCATAGGCTTCCTTCCTCCTTGAAGAGGCTTTCCTGAGCCCCTCCCGAAGGGGCTGATCTGCCTCAGGGAAAGCGCGTGACCCAGGGCAGCCCCGCCTCGGCTTTCGCCTGCCTTTCCTGCTCCAGCTGCCTCCTACGCGTGTAGGTGTGATAATGGGTTTTCAAAGTGCAGGTGAATCTCGCCCTCGTATATTTGGAGAGCAGAAGAGCGGTATTTTTTTAAGCAGGGCCCTGGAGAAGTAAAATCCCTTCCCGTGTGACCCCAAAGGCAAGCGGGGCTACGATGGGCCCTTGCAACTTGGGCCGTGAAAGCAGGGAGAAGCTGCTTCTGTTAATTTAGCTCCATGGCTAATCTCGAAAAGCTAAGCAGGATTGGACCTGCTCTTGGACTGATAATATTTTAGAACAGAATTTTTTAGAATAGAGCTGGAAGGGATCTTGGAGGCCTTCTAGTCCAACCCCCTGCTCAAGCAGGAGAACCTATACCATCTCAGACAAGTGACTGTCAAGCCCAGGGGTAGATAACCTTGGATCTTTTATGATTCTTGGACTTCAACTCCCAGAATTCCTGAGCCAGCTATGCTGGCTCAGGAATTCTGGGAGTTGAAGTCCACAAGTCATAAAAGAGCCAAGGTTGCCTACCCCTGGGCTAGCCTCTTTTTAAAAATCTCCAGTGATGGAGCGCCCATGATTTCTGGAGGCAAGCTGTTCCACTGGTTAATTGTCTTCACTGTCAGGAAGTTTCTCCTTAATTCTAGGTTGCTTCTCTCTTTGATCAGTTTCCAACCATTGTTTCTTTTCCTTCCCTCTGGTGCTTTGGTGGATAATGTGATCCCCTCTTCTTTGTGGCAGCCCCTCAAAAACTGGAATGCTGCTATCATGTCTCACCTATTTCTTCTTTTCTTTAGACTAGCCAAACCCAAGTCCTGCAGCCGTTCTTCGTATATTTTAGTCTCCAGGCCTTTGATCATCTTTGTTGCTCTTTGAAGTTTTTTCCAAACTCTCAACATCTTTTTTGTGATATGGTGACCAAAATTGGCTGCAGTATTCTAGATGTGGTCTTACTAGGGTTTTATAAACCAGTACTAATACCTCGCGTGATCTTGATTCTATTCCTCTGTTTATACAACCCAGGATTGTATTAGCTTTTTTGGCTGATGCTGCACACTGCTGCTCATGGTCAAGTGATTGTTCACTAGGACTCCAAGGTCCTTCTTGCAGTTACAGTTTTTAAGCCAGGTCTCACCCAATCTGTACTTGTACCTTTGATTTTTTTCTGCCTAAATGTAAAACTGCTTTTCTCCACATTGAAACTCATTTTGTTGGATAGGGCCCATTGTTCAAGTTTGTCCAGATTTTTTTGGATCCTGAGTTTGTTTTCTGGGGTGTTGGCTACTCCTGCCAGTTTGGTATCATCTGCATATTTGATGAGTGCCCCTTCAATTCCCTCATCTAGGTCATTTATGAAGCTATTGAAGAGTACTGGGCTTAAGATGGAACCTTGTAGTACCCCACTGCTTACTTCCCTCCATGTGGATGTAGTGCCATTGAGGACTACTCATTGAGTATGGTTTGCCAGCCAACTACGGATCCATCTGGTGGTAATCTTGTCTATTCCACCTTTTTCTAGCTTACTAAGGAGTAGGTTGTGGTCTACTTTATCAAATGCCTTACTGAAGTCTAAATATACTATGTCCACAGTATTTCACTGGTCTATTAATTTAGCTACTTTGTCGAAGAATGAAATAAGATTGGTTTGCCATGATGTTTTTAACAAATCTGCTGGCTACTGGTTATAACTTTGTTTGCTTCTAGTTGTTCACAGATCTGTTTTTTTGATTATCTTTTCTAGGATCTTCCCAGGTAGTGATGTTAAACTGATTGGTCTGTAGTTTCCTGGGTCCATTTTTTTCCCTTTCTTGAAGATGGGAACCACATCAGCCCTTTTCCAATCCTTAGGTACTTCCCTGGTGCTCCAAGATTTTTGAAAGATGTAATGATTCCGAGATAAACATCTGCCAGCTCCTTCAGAACTCTGGGATGTAATCTGTCAGGCCCTGGTGATTTATATTCTTCAAGGTCAGATAGGTGCCCTCTTACCATTTTCTTGTCAATTTTAATTTTTATTTCTAATTTATCTTTTGCAGTGTTTGTTTTTTTTTGTATGTTGGGCTATAGTTTCTTTTTGTGTGAAGACTGATGAAAAGTATGAGTTAAGTAGCTCTGCTTTCTCCCTGTTGCCTGTTATTTCCTTGCTATCTTCTCTCTTTAGTGGACCTACAGTTTCCTTGACTTTTTTCTTGTTAATATGTTGAAAGAAACTTTTTTTATTATCCATGATTTCTGTTGCAAGTCTTTGTTTGTTCTGAGTCTTTGCTTTCCTGACTTCATCTTTGCATGTTCTGGCTGTCTGCTGATAATCAGCCTTAGTTATGTGCCCCTCTTTCCATTTTTTTTTTTGTATTTGTCCTTTTTGTCTTTCAGTTTGTCAGAGATCTTTATGCAGCCATGCTGGTTTCTTCCTGAATTTTTTGTTTTTCTTTTTCAGTGATATGTGTACATTAGAAAGCAAGATCTTTTAAAAATATATCCCAGAAGAAAACAATGGAAAGTTAAAGTTTTGTTACCCAAAAAACAATGAAGCTTATCTTAAGAGATTTCAAAGATAAGCTATGGCTTATTCACTGACATTGATTGAATATACTGTACCCCATTTGCCTTGGTTTATTGATGCTACACCAGGAATCATGACATTATGTAATATGCTGAATGATAAATAAGCACATGCTAAGCCAGAAAGCTGAATGTAAAGTGCAAACATTAATCACATTTTTTACAAGCCTGGTTCACACAAGATCCTAAACTATTGATGGGTGAACCCTGGTCTACAAGCTTTATGCTGTACTCCATCCCATGTATATATCCTTAAATGGTCATCCAATTCATACTACTGAAATTTAGCAGCAAAACTGTAGTCTTTGTGGCAGCACAATTTACCTTTTAGCAAAATTAAATCTTTGTCAGGCTTACTGTAATTGGTTCGAATTGAAAGACAAATTAGTATTATTTCTCTGCCGCACAGAACAGAAAAGGACCAAAAAAATCTCAGTTCTCCTGTGCTCTTTCCCCATCTGTATGAAGTCTTCCCAAATCTTTTAGCAATAAGGAAGTGGTGCCCATAAGAAAAAAGATTCCCAATTTTTACTAATTAGTCATTTATTCAATAAACCATGATTAAGCAAACCATTAATGTATTGTACAAACCCAGATAATTAAATCTTGGTTCTTTAAAGAAGGGATCCCATTCCAGTCCCCCTGTGAGGGAGGCTGGTAGTTTCAAATTTAGAGAGAGATGATAGATGATGGATGGATAGATAGGTGATATAGAAGATGAGAGAGAGGGAGGGGGGGCTGGTATTTCAAAGGGTCTTAAAGACCTGGCTCTTCACCCGCCTTTGGAGAGAATGGCTGATGCTTGCTTTCTGTTTCCCTCTGGGTTTATTCTCTTTGCCATCATTGTTCTTTTGTGCTGTTTTTGTGGGTTTTGTATTGTTTATTTTAAAATGTTTTAATTGTAAACCTCTGAGTTGCTGGAAGCTGGATGGCATACATATTTAATAAATTATCAAGCTAGATTTCTGCTGTAGTTCATGCTATGCTAAATTTCAGTTTGTATTACCATGGTTTAGTGGTAGATAGTTAATCCATTTATTTGCAACTATAGGTTTTAGTAAAAATCCTTATAAAATTACAGCAATCCTTACCGGCTCAATTCATCGCCCCTACAATTAATAGCAGTTATCCGTCAACATCTTCCTTGCAGTCACTGCAAGCAAAGCAACTTGTTTTATTACACGTTGCTCTACACTGGTCAGCAGGAAATGGATTGCAATAAACTATGATTAGGTGGGTTCACATAATATGCTATGCTGTAAACCATGATTTGAATAATTTAATGGCTAGAGTCACATTGTGCTCTAAATCCAAGCCACACAAATCACATTATGGTTTAATGTGATAATGTACAAACTCAGCTCCTGGTTCTTGTATAAGTCACTTCATGATTTTGTAGAATTTCGTGGTGCTTATGCCAACATTTTCTTTTTTAAGTTCTTCCTTTTTGAAGTTGAAGCATTCAGGTGCTGCAGGGAGATTTGGTAGGGACAGAGAATAGGAGTCAGAACTGACAGAGTTTGGACTCCAAGTTCCATCAGATTCAGTTAATCCAGTGACCAGTGGCAAGAAGTGGTGGGGGACATAGCCAAAATATCAAGTATATCAGCTTATCTATTCCATATTTTTTTTTAATCCTCTAAAAACAGTGTTATAATTTGCCCAGTATATAGGAATGACAAGGGAAGCACCCCACCCCCAAACACATCTCTTGACCCGTTATCATTTCAGTTTCAACCCATCAGACAACTGTTCCTGTACAACCCCAAGACTTAACGATCAGCAAAAGAGGGCAACAATGGCAACCATCCATGAAAGAATGGCTGATTTTCATCCTGAGCACAAGGGTCTGGTACTGTGTTTTGCTCTCAGGGGAAAAAAAAAAAAAAAGATTTCTGCATTGAAATCTCTGCCTGACAGCCAAGAGAGGATTTCTGTCGGACCAGACAGCATGTGCCAAGGGCTGGAACAGCAGGAACTTAGCAGATGGGTTTCACAGACAACTGGCACCACACCACCGCTCCATGCCCTAGTAGGCACCAGCCCTTTCGTGGATGCTAAATTTTTAATTCTGAAATTTAAAAGAACCAGCAAATGTCCTGGGGGTTTCAAGCTGCTTCTTGATTGAGAGCGGGCAGACGCAGCGGCTGTCAAACCAAAGTAAACAGCGCCTCTTTGCTTGCCTAATTAAGAGCACCAATCTTTACCTCTTCAAACCAGTCAGCAGTCTCGATTTCCCAAGGTCTTCAAGTGCTCTTCTTTTAAAGGGCTATTCATCGTGGCCAGCCATTTTTTTTTTCCTCCCAAGAAGCAAGCAAAATGGGAAAAGAGCAAAAACACGGATGGAGGCTCAGTCGCAATGAAACAGCCCACACTCTGGATGTGCCAGTGTGATTGCAGAAGGACAGGACTTGAGTGCAATCCTTTCATCTGGATTTTTTTTCCGGTCAGCCAGCTGGTTTTTGTTTTTGAAAAGCCTTTTGCTGTCCACGATATTATATCTTTCAGTGACAAGTAAAAATTCACAAAGTAAAACATTCCCCAACATGTATTCTGCTGTTTTAGCCTTTTAATTCTGTTGTAATCTCCATGGAGAACTATGGTTCAATTAAGAGCATAACAGATATCTAAAGTCTAAAAGGATTCTGTTTTAAAATAAATTAGTGCAGGGGTGTCAAACTCGCAATGTCACATGATATCGTGACTTTTTTGCCATTGCCAGCAATTGGATGGGTGCGGTTTCGCTATGATGCATCTAGCCTACGGGCCGGCAGCTTGACACCCCTGAATTGGTGGATGCTTGTTTATATGCATATACAGTATTTTAACCCACAAAGGCCACAGTTAAGTTTAGAGACCAGGAATGGAGGTGCTACAAATCCAACAAAAGTCTTTTTCAAGAGGAAGCAAGTTCCTTTTCTGATTGCTATGGAAATCAAGGTGGAGGCAAGTGGGTTCATTCCAGGGAAGAGGACACCGTTATTTTCAACATTTAAATGAGACCTGGCTTGTTCCTGAATTGCAGAATAGCCACATTTTTTTCTTTTTTATGTCATAGCTTTTATGCAACATTTCAAGAGACTCTGGGTTTTTGATAGGAGCTTCCATCAATTTGGCTGTAAATTAATTAAAAGGGTGAAGCTGGATTTATGAGATCAGGGCTGTAAAACACCACTAGGTGGCAGTAACTCTTAGCTTTTTGCTGCCATCTAGTAAGTATCTTGAGTTTTACAGTCCAATTCCAGCCATTTCAGATGTCATTCTTCACCAAGCTCAAGAATTCCCAATGTAGAACCTTAGCATTTTTCATAGACTGAAACAGAATCCTCAAGTCAAGCAGTTATTGCTCTTCCATAAAAGCAGAGAATATCAGAACTCTTTAAAGGAACTATATAATTGCAGGAAAAGTGATGGTTGCTTTAAGTCATATCTAATTTTGAAGGAGCTGCAGTAATATATTTGGTAATATATTTGTGCTCTTTTTTTGAAATCAAATGCTGCGTTTTGCACAAACCTAACAGACGTGGAACTAATGGAACATACTGGCAGCCTTTTTGGAAGGCAGGCAAGCAGAAATATAGCTCCCACTTGTTGCTCTGCTGAAGCACCAATGATTCACTCATCTCTGTGGTTACTTGTGCATTTTCTCATTTAGTTCAGCAGCATCTCTCTGTCCATAGAGATGTATTGACTTTTAGAAACTACTGCAATAGGGAGAGTGAGAAGAATCTAAATCAGGGATTAGTCAATTGTGTAGAACTGGGCAATTAATGAATGCATCAATAAGAAAATAAATATCTGCATTTTGGTGGGCTTACAGGAAAGAAGCCTAGATCATTTGAAAATTAAAACAAAATACTGTTAATTTTCTGTACTCCTTGGTTATATTCCCACAATTCTAAACTGTAAAATAACTACAGTCAAGCCTAGTTATGTAAATCCAACCTGTATAGTTCAGAAGATTGTATAAATAAGCTGCCTAGAGTTGCCTTGGGAAGATAGGACAACATAGATGCCTAATAATAAATAAAATAAGTCCAAGAAATGTGGTCAGGTAGATAAACTGGTTAGCCATAAGTAAGTATACTGTGTAAATGCAGCCACAATTTCAGGCTTGGTTACCACATTTTTACCCTGCCACAATCAAAAGAATCTCGGCATCTTGTACAGAACATAAAACAAGTTAAAACATCCATAAATTAAACCTAAAAGAAGCCATCCATAATGTACAACAGAAAAAAAAAATGATGTCATATATAAGCCTATGAGAATGCTCTCCAAAAAAGTTCAGTCTTTTTAAGAATTTCTGAAAAACAGGAAGAGTTTCGATCTAACCCACTGTTTCCCATATCTCAGCAACTTTAAAGATGTGTAGGCTTGAATCCATACATCTTAATGTTCTTGAAATTAAGAAACACTGGTCTACAGTAATCTCTACTAAAAGGTCTGCTCGAAAGCATCAGCCCTAGCACAGAAAAGCAGCTTCAGCCCACCCCACCCCAAACCTCTTAAGCCTAACAACTTTTTAAATATTTGAAAATGGAATTAGATTACATTTAATTCAATATAATTTTATTGAATTTTACCTTTAGTTAATGTTTTGATTAATTTTTATCGTGATTCTTCTGCGGCATCAGAATTCCTCACAGCTGCTATGCATTTTGTAAAACAACATGGGATATCCTGGTTGCATATCAGCCAGGCTCACATGTTAGGTTAAAACACGGTTGGCTAGTTGGTGGCTCATTTACAAACATAGCCAGCAAGATTACTTTATTCAGCCAGTTGGGCAGATTTCAGCAACTCAATTAATTCAGTAACTGTAGTTCACTTAAGCAAGAATTAATCTGTGTGCAAATATAGCCATATCCCATCATATCCAGTTTTGCCATTTATGTGGAATTAAGTTCGAGTGAATGCCACAGAATTTACTAACTGTGGCCCATTTGTTGTAGTTGATAAACCTATGTTTATCCAATCCTTCTGCAGAGCTGACTTTTAAAAGCAGAATTCACACTTCATACCTGGATTTTCACGACCTCTTGCATATCTTCCATTTACACAGTGATTGCAGACCCAAGCATGTTGTGTGAGCATATATATATGTGCATCTTATACAGATGAATCCTTAAGTAGGTGATACAAGCACCCACCAGTAATAAGCTTCCTTAAAAAGGCAGAAGACAATTAAAAGATAGAATATTTTATTAGCATTACAACATTAAAGTAACTATCAAATATAATGCTTTAGGTTAATGCAGGAATGAATCAGATTAAGTATTGCTTGCAAGAGGGACAAGAAAGTATTGATATTCTCAACTGAGATCTGCAAACTACATAAATCACTACTGTAAGTAGAAATCCATCCGAGGACAAAATCTGATATTAAAATTTTTTATTTGAAAAGGGAAATCAAAGATTTATCACCTGTAGATGCTGTTAACATAGCCCAGGGGGGTAGGCAACCTTGGCCCTTTTATGACTTGTGGACTTCAACTTCCAGAATTCCTGAGCCATATGAGCCAAGGTTGCCTACCCCTGACATAGCCGCTTTGCCATTTTAATGTTACAGATGTTGCAGGGTGTTCCATGCCTCATGTTGTCCTATTGGTTTATTGTACCATTTGTGACAAAAACTGTTGGTACTGTGCTCGAGCAGGAAAGTGGTCAGCTGGTCTGTTATGAGCGGTCCACACGGGTTCTCCAACAAACAGTCTCATTGCCTTGACATAATTCTGAGAGGAAAAACACAAGAATTCACACTCAGTAGAAATATTCACTTTCATAAAAGATATGGTTCAAAACTACCAAAAAGGCTGAAAGAATTAAGGACAAAACTGTCTTTGAGTGGTTTTGCCACAAACACTATTAAAGAGATTTATTTTATTTTATTTTTTAAAAAAGAAACATTAGCAAATATAATACTTAAGAACAGAATCAAAGTGATTTTACTCAAGCCTTAGAAAATACCCAGACTTTTAAAAATATAGCATAGTCTGATTTTCTTTGCCTAGTTTGCAATATTGACATTGTGGAAGAAATAATAGTGATATAAATCACTTCAACTCAGCCAGGTAACAGAGTCAATATATTCAAAGTCCCATAAGGGATAGAAGTTCTTTGGACATTTGGCAGATTTAGAGTTCCATCATTTGATTGGCCTCATTCCTGAGTCTGGAAGAAACTGAATTTGAACAGCTGGTGCTTTTCACGCACATAATCTCAAGGAAAAGTTGGTATGACGTTCTTCAAAGCATGGGAGCAGGAAAACTGGCCATTTAAGAGAAAATAATGCTTCGTGTACGATATTCTCTATTCCTCAAGGTTAGAAAAGCACAGGACAAACCTGGAAGCTGTGACTGGAGGATCATAGAACTACTACCCTGATGTAGAAAAGTGTCCATAGAATAACTCACAAATTGATATTGAATATCCACCTATTGGGGTGTAAAACAAATCTGGACTGAAAAAAATCCAGGTAACCTACAGACGTCAGGAAAGAATTGCAGGGAGCTAGTTGTGCACTTTTTGCAGCCCAAACCTGATAATCTTAGGTTTAAGTTGCAAAGAATTCAAGAGGCTATCCACTTTTGCATCAATGTTGTTAAGTTTGAAATCTCAGTTCACAAGGGTAAGCATGCCATTAATTGCACAAATGTTGAAAGTCTTTATGATTTCTTAAACTTTATCATTGTGACAATCCAGCCAAGACTGGAATTCATACTCTTTTCTTTCTACAAATAATGATGCAAACAGGCTACTCTAAAACCAATTTGCTAGTTCAGCTATCAAGAAGATACAGGAAATAACTGGGCACATGATGGCTTAGTTCACACACTATACTGAACTGCAATCAAACAGATTTGAAATTGGATTACTAGGGACAAAGTCCTAGGCCAGTCTGAACTTGTCTTTTAACAGCAGTTTCAACTCGAAGCAACAAGCAGGAGACCATTACCCCCACTCAGTATCTCTAACCTACTTAGCTAGAAAAAATGGAGAGCCTCATTTCAGAAAGGAAACAAGCTTTCAGATGATAACCTTTTATCTATCAGTGAAGAAAATAAATAATTCATTTTCTTTCTATTTTCTTTCTCATTCTTTCCTTTCTCAGCAGGAGTTGGGTAAGAAATAGCTCATTTCATCACATGCGCTAAAATGGAACGTAGTCTCTTGCTTGTGATCGACAGCTCATGCTATAACCACGTTAGCCTTTCTATTACCACATAATTATTGGTTTATATTTTTAAATGTTAGCCCCATCGGTAGCAGCATTTTAGCAACAGCTGCTTAATATTTAAATTAAGACTTTAAAAATTTCAGTGGCTCATGCAGGCCAGCATTCTGAGTTTTAAAAAAATTCTTAATCCATTTAACTTGCTATTTCTAATGTCTCTGATGTTATACTGTTTAATAACTCAAACACACAGTGTCTGAGTATTAAACAGTATAAGATCAGAGATATTAGAAACAGCAAGTTAAGTTGGACTAAGATTTTTGTTAAGTCAGAATTGGTGAGTTGTGTGTCTGAATTGTGTTATTTAGGAGGCATTGTGGAGGGAGGAGGCTTAAGGTTTTGAAATGAAATGGAATAGAATGCCTAGCAATCTTAATAAAATAAAGCACATTTATTGCAGCACAGTGGCTAGCACAAAACCTGGGATTCAGAAACACAGCCTATGCATATTTTCCCTATGTAATAAAACCAACAAAAGGGTCCCACAAACTGATCTCCAATCCACGGCGACTGAGGGTAGAGCCACAGCAAAATACTAGCTCCTTCAACCTTGTTCTGAATGCTTTGTATCCTACACAACAAGCCAAACAACAGAAAAAACAGATCTCCTGAGGCTCCGATGGATAGTTGCTATGGTAACACCAATCCCTTACTAAAGATGGATTTTATGACAAGGCTGGAGACACAAGTGCTCCGTTTATCTATAAAGATAGCAGTTCAGAGCCAAGAAAGCATATGTGCTCTAATACTATCTTTCCCTGAACCTGAGGAATTGATTTCTAAGCCGAGAGAGCGGCTTGGAAGTCAAGGAAGTTTCCGATACTGTGCTATGATTTCAAGCAAGGTAATTCACCAATACCAAATCAATGATTTCCCATCAAGTTGTTAAAATTGTTACAATGGGGTATGAACTTGTACACGTTGCTTCTTGAAGATTCTAACCCCACATTTCTACATTAGTGATTTGTACCTGGGGTGTACCAGAGCTATGTTTATGCTGGTCTGCATCTGCCTCAACTGCGGTTTTTATTTTATTTATTTATTTTGTTTTTATTTTATCGTGGGTTTAAAAAAAAAAAAAGCCTGTTTCATACAGATTCATCCAGTGTAAATCGGTGATAGATGCCAGCAGGAAGCGTGATCATGTCGCCTTTCTCCATAGCAATCCGGATCCACTTATCATCTTTATCACGAACATCAAAATATCCACTTCCTTCCAGGATGTAGCGAATCTCATCATCCAGGTGTAAGTGCTCTTCGTAAAAATTTTTTATCTAGGACAGGGAAGGAACAGAATAGGAAGCATTTTTGTGGAGCAAGTCTATTACAAACACATAGCATATTGCATGCTGCCCAGATTGTAAGGTGCTACTTCCAAAGTGCTCAAGCTTCTGTTAATAGGCAGCTGTTCAATGTTTATAAGGTAGATTTTGAAGTTCTCTCAGAATTATCCTTACAGCAATTATACAAAGTAGATCGGCACACTTACAGCAGATGAAGGACTTCTGACCTCTGAACATTTAGTTGGGAAATATTTTAAATGCACATTCCCAGTAATCTTTACATTCCATCAGCCTCAATTTGAGACCAGCTGTTTGCAACATTAAATCTATGTGTGCTATGTATTGAAATACCAAGCTAGTTGTTGCAGATAACAAGAATTACATAAAAGCAAATGAGCATGTTGGTTGTATTCTTTCCCTCCTCTATGCCCAGCATAGAATTTAAGCGCTTTGTTCCTCCTTGACCAGATGGCAGCACGCTCATCAAAACTGTGCAAGCTGGCAACTTGGGAGGGCTTATTTCAATGAGTGAAGCGCCCTTCTAAATTGTTTCAACGGTCCTACTAAATATGTTGTCATCTATGGAGAGAACGAAGTCATATTTCCCGCTTTCTAGATCAGAGGTCCCCAACCTTTTGGGCATCAGAGACCAGTTACATGGAGAGAGGTTTTTCCGCGGACCAGAGGAGGCGGGGTTTTGTGTGCTGCCTGCATCCTGCAGATGGGGCTTTGCTTGTTTGTGCGGACCGGTTGCTGGCATGCTGTGGCCCGGTACTGGTCCACGGACCAGGGGTTGGAGACCCCTGCTCTAGATAGCATTGCTTTCCAAATATGCCCTTCCTTAAAAAATCTCACATTTCATGAGGCCCCCAAAACAGATCATATTGTCAGCTACCTGGATTCAATTTAGTACTACCTAGATACATTAGGATTGGAGCATCCAAAATTTCCAGCTGAGTTTTGATTATACAGGTTGTGGATTCTAAATTGCAGATTCTAAAGGACTTAGAAGACACCAGACTAACAAATGGAAATATAAAAATGACTGATATTTGAACGAAAATGTTCCTCTCTGCTACTGAAAGGTATTTATGGAGACTTCCTGAGGAGGATTTGTCCTTCCATTAGGATGGAGACTGGCTCAAGCAGTTGATTTGAAATGTCACAAAAGCTTAGCTACTCAGCAGCTACTCCATATATTGTTTTTAGTTGTGTATTGGCATGTGAGAATGACCTTGAGGGACAAGGGGAAGAGATGCTTCCCAGGAAATGATCAGACAAGAAAAAGGAAGAGTCCTCAGTTGCTTAATGGTCAAGGAGAAAATTAAGGAAGACCCAATCTAATGGATTAGTTAAAAGTGTCGGCAAAAGATTTGCATTTTCAGACTCGCAAGATTCTGTTAATGTACCCTTACAATAAAGTAGATTTAGCTCATCTGGTTGTGTTTCCTGTCTGGTTTACCGGGGAGGACTTGCACTAACACAGGGGTCCCCAACCCCCGGTCCATGGACCAATACCAGGCTGCAGCATACCACAACCAATCTACACAAACAAGCAAAGCCCCATCCGCGAGATGCAGGCAGCAAACAAAACCACACACCCTCTGGTCCGCGGAAAAACCTCTCTCTACGGAACCGGTCCCTGGTGCCCAAAAGGTTGGGGAACTCTGCACTAATAGGCAAACAAGATTTTCTGCCTCAGGTACTAAAGTATTTTATAGACAGCCTTGAATACCATGTGCTTCAATTTTTCCAACCTAGATCTAAAAAAGTGCTTACCACCCTAAACAACTTTGTGATGCGTGGACTTCATCTCTCAGCATTCCCTAGCCAATACAGCCATTGTTAAGAATTCTGGGAGTTGAAATCAATACATCTTAAAGTTGGGAATTAGCAATAGCTAGGTTGGAAAATAGCAATAGCAATAGCACTTAGACTTATATACCGCTTCACACTGCTTTACAGCCCTCTCTAAATGTTTTACAGAGACAGCCTGTTGCCCCCAACAATATGGGTCCTCATTTCATTGACCTGGGAAAGATGGAAGGCTGAGTCAACCTTGAGTTTGCTGTGAATCTACAGATTTCATTTCTCAGAACATCAGTAATCAGGCTGAACATTCTAGAACAGTGATGGCGAACCTTTTAGAGACCGAGTGCCCAAACTGCAACCCAAAACCCACTTATGCATCATCGAGTGCCGGTGGGCGGTATGGCCCATTGGCTGGGTGTGGCCCATTGGGTGGGCGTGGCTGCGGTGGTAATAGCCGACTGGATGGGACTAAAAAGTTCAATCAATCAATTCCAACTTTGCAAGATCTTTTTTTTTCCTACGAGAAGTTGAAATTGACTGATTGAACCTTTTTTTTTTTTTTTTTGCACACGGCAGCGGAAGCCTAAAGCAAAAAGGTTTTATAAAACCCAGCTGAAGGCCTAGGACTGGGGTGACGGCGCGTGTGCCCACAGAGAGCGCTCTGAGTGCCGCCTCTGGCACCCGTACCATAGGTTCACCACCACTGTTCTAGAAGTAGAAATCCACATAGAAAAGGTGTCAGGCTGAGAAGGATGACACACCTTGACAAGGGAGTAGGGTAGAAAGCCATCTAGATGTATTGCTGCACTGAGCAGAGGATCTGCTTCCACGACCTTCCTTAGAGGATAGCTCTGACAGGGAGACCATTCTAGTTCTTGCTTCTCTTTCTCCTCAGGCATTCAAGACCCTTTTCACATGCAGTCTTCCCTTTTGGCACCTTCTACTTTTGAGATTTGCTACCTCTGAGATCTTACTCCATTCCTTCCATCAGGTGTTTATTCTGTCCTAGAATGTCTGGATGCACGTTGGCTTCAGACAAGTCAGACTCTGTTAGCAAGCCCCATCCTCCTTGGTTTTATTCTCTGGGAATCAGGGTGCCATTTTTTCTTCCCCCCCCCCAATTTATCAGTTTGGATGGAACATGATTCTGATAAGAAATAAACCTAGTACTCTGACTGGCTAAAAAATTAAATGCCCAACTCTGTTTCTCCTTATTATCAGATTCAGTGAAGCTGAGAAGCTGCTAAGCCTAATCAATAATAAAACAGAGGGCGGGCAATAAACCAAAACTCAAGCCAGACAAAGCTGTGGTGCCATTATTAGGCACTTTGTTTGACCTAGAGAGTTGTTTGGGGCTTTAAATTCAATTAAAACAAAGAAGTAAAACCTCAAATCCTCCTCAGAAAAATCAAGTACTATTTTCACTTGTTTAGGATAAAAGTATGTTAATCTATTCAACTAAGTTTCCCTTAACAATATAGCTGCTGCTTTCTGTTAATTGACGCTTCAACAGTGTCTTCAAGGCCAGACCCATGTACAATGCATTATAGCACAGCGGTAGTCCTCAACTTATGACCATAATTGGGATCAAATTTCCATTGCTAAGTAAAGCAGTTGTTAAGTAAGTTGCACCCGGTTTTATGACCTTTTTGCTATAGTTGTTAACGAATCACTGCAGTTGTTAAGTGAATCATGTACTCATTAAGTGAATCCAGCTTCTCCCATGGACTTCTCTCATGGACTGTCAGAAACTGGCTGGGGAAATGGCCAGGATGCTGTAATCATCGTAAATAGATGTGAGTTACCAAGTACCTAATTTCAGATCATGTGACCATGAGGATGTTAGGATGATCAGTAAATAAGGAGGACTGATCATAAATCATTTCTTTCAGCGCCATTGTAACTTCAAGTGGTCATTAAATAAATGGTTGTAAGTCAAGGACTACCTATAGTCTAATGATAATTCTTCAGGAGCACTCGACAGATCTTTAAGGAGTTCAGTGGCTAAATTACATTGATTTACACTGAATTAAGCCATAATATAATGTTTGTTTTGGTTTACTGTGATGCATAATTTCTATTAATCACTTATTCAAAAAAGCCATATTTAACAATACCATCATTTAACACAGAACATGAATCTAGCCACTATGGCTTAGTCCACAAACCATGATTTTAACATATTTTACACACACACACACACACAAACACACACACACACACACGATACATACATATACGTATATACATATACATATGGATTTTTGGTTTGATCTCTGGGCTTGGTAATTAGGTTGCAAACGTTTCATCTCCGTTCCGGGGGACATCTTCAGTGCGGTTTGAATTGTGTTCTGTTTGTTTGGAATGTTGCTTCCGGTATTTCAGTTGAAGTAGCTCTCTCACGTTAGTTGGTAAAGTATATGACGCCTGATCTTTGATTTGATTCTGTTGGCTCTTTAGGTTTTGATAGGATCCGTCTGAGAGTTGAAGCTGGGTTGTGGGCTACTGTGAGGTCATGTTGGCATAGTAGTCTTGCTGTCATCTCTGAAATGTTTCGTATGGAAGGAATTGTGATTCGTTTGCTCATTGCTATTCCTGCTGTAGTAATTGTATTATTTTGGGCGTTTGTATTATTTGTATTTTACAAAACAGGAGCTACAGGCAATGAAATCTCTCAACTGACAGCAACATCGTCATCCTACCAGTCGAGAAAGGCCGAATGACAGTCATACTAGAGAAAGCTGACTACATACAAAAAGCCAAACAACTCCTACAGGACACAAACACCTACAGATGCACTAACACAGACCCAACGACGAAACTGACCAACAAGATCAACAGAACCCTAAAAAAGCTACAGAAACTAAACCAAATCACCAAAGAGGAATACCAGAGAATGAAAGCAACTGATTCAAAAGTGAACAAAGAAAACACCCCACTCATCTCCGTTCAGGGGGACATTTTCAGTGCAGTTTGAATTGTGTTCTGTTTGTTTGGAATGTTACTTCCGGTATTTCAGTTGAAGTAGCTCTCTCGCTCTCAGTGGTTGGTAGGCGGAGTCGATGTCAATGTGTCTGTTCATTGATTGGTTGGTGCAGAACCAGGCCTTGAGGAATTCTCTTTCTCTCCTTGCCTTTGCTTGGATTATAACTGTCGTCCCACTTAGATCGAACTTCTGTTGTTCTGAGTCCTCGTGGATGGACATGAGGGACAATGGGTCGTGTCTTTCAATAGCCAGGGAGTGCTCGTGCAGTCTGGTAGATAGCTTTTTTCCTGTTTGGCCCACATAGTTCTTTTCACAGTGTTGCACTGGACTTGGTATTTGATGCCTGATTTTTGATTTGTTTCTGTTGGCTCTTTAGGTTTTGATAGGATCTATCTGAGAGTTGAGGTTGCTTTGTGGGCTACTGTGAGGTCGTGTTGGCAGAGTAGTCTTGCTGTCATCTCTGAAATGTTTCGTATGGAAGGAATTGTGATTCGTTTGGTCGTTACTGTTCCTATTGTTGTAGTTATTGTGTTGTTTTGGGTGTTTGTGTTGTTTGGATGTAGGGATCTCTGGTTGAAGCCTCATGGATATCTGTTTCTCTCAAAGACTCTGTATAAGTATCTCTGTTTTGTTATTCTGTGTTGCAATAGGATTCTGCTCTTCTGAAAAGTGTTCTGACAGACCTTTGTTTACGGCATTTGGGGTTTTTGCTGTGGAAGTTGAGGATTTGGTCTGTGTGTGTTGTTTTTCTGTATATGGATGTTAGAAGTTGGCCACTGGTGGTTCTGCTTACAAGGACGTCCAGGAATGGCAGTTCATTGTTGTTCTCGGTTTCTATCATAAATTGGATGTCTGTGAAGATGTTATTGGTTTTTTGGTAGGTCTAGCCGATTTGGTTGTACTTGATTATCACAAAGGTGTCATCCACGTAGTGTACCCATAGTTTGGGGTTTATTGTGTGAGAGAACGATTTCTTCAATTCTTTGTATGATGACTTCTGCGACCAGGCCAGATATGGGGGATTCCATAGGTGATCCTTTCAATTGTTCATAGACCTCACTGTCAAATTTGAAATAGGTGGTTAGGCATAGTTGGAGGAGTTCACATGTTTTTTCTAGTTGTGAGTGGTCCTCTTGATGGATGTGTCTTGTCTAGAAGTTCTCTGATTAGGTCAACTGCTAGTTTCAGGTCTATTGATATGAATAATGCAGTAACATCAAATGATATCATAGTTTCGTCCTCGTCAATGTGAAGGAGTTTGAGTTTGTTCAGGAATTGCGTTGCATTGTTTATGGAGTATTGGGAATCGCTGATGAGGTGTTTTAGGCGTTTCCATATTTCTTTTGTGAGATTATAAGTGGGTGTGCCAGGAAATGAGATGATCGGTCTGAGTGGGTTGTTTTTTTTGTTCACTTTTGGGAGACCATAGAAGTGTGCTATGTTTGAATCAGTTGCTTTCATTCTCTGGTATTTCTCTTTGGTGATTTCGTTTAGTTTCTGTGGCTTTTTTAGGGTTCTGTTGATCATGTTGGTCAGTTTCATCATTGGGTCTGTGTTGGTGCATCTGTAGATGTTTGTGTCCTGTAGGAGTTGTTTGGCTTTTTGTATGTAGTCAGCCTTGTCTAGTATGACTATCATTCGGCCTTTCTCGGCTAGTAGGATGACAATGTTGCTGTCAGTTGAGAGACTTCATTGCCTGTAGCTCCTGTTTTGTAAAATACAAATAATACAAACGCCCAAAATAATACAACTACTACAGCAGGAATAGCAATGACCAAATGAATCACAATTCCTTCCATACAAAACATTTCAGAGATGACAGCAAGACCACTCTGCCAACATGACCTCACAGTAGCCCACAACCCAGCCTCAACTCTCAGATGGACCATATCAAAACTTAAAAGAGCCAACAGAATAAAATCAAAGATCAGGCGTCATATACCCTACCAACCACCGAGAATGAGAGAGCTACTTCAACTGAAATACTGGAAGCAATATTCCAAACAAACAGAACACAATTCAAACCGCACTGAAGATGTCCCCCGCAACAGAGATGGAATTACTAAGCCCAGAAATCAAACCAACAGCCCAGCTACCAACCCGAGCTACTAATATTCAAACACATCTCAACATATACATATATACATAAATTATAAAAAAGTAGAACTGCAGTATAGCAGTCAAAATGCCAAGGTGTAATCAATCAGACCGGTCTGTCTGAAAAACTTTCTGTATATACTCCCTTGACTCAGCTGACAAAGAGGGGAGGAGAGTCTATGGCCTGGTGGTTAACTGCCTAACATGTAGACTGCCCAGGTTCAAATCACATAAAGGGTGTGGCTAGCTAATGAGGATAAATGAATCCGAAATAGCTATACTGGTCTCCCACTTAAATCTTTAACTCTTGTCAGCAAAAATATCGGAATACACACACACACACACACACACACACACACACATATATACCACCTTTATTATTTTAACAGATAACTCAAGGTGGCAAACATATCCCACACACCTTCCTCCTCCTATTTTCCCCTCAACAACAATCCTGTGAGATGATGAGTTGGGCTGAGAGAGAAAGAAATAATAATAAAGTTGGAAGGGACCTTGGAGGTCATCTAGTCCAACCCCCTGCTCAGGCAGGAAACCCTATACCATTTCAGACAAATGGCTGTCCAATCTCTTCTTAAAAACTTCCAGTGTTGGAGCATTCACTATTTCTGGAGGCAGGTTGTTTCATTGGTTAATTGTTCTAACTGTCAGGAGTGACTGGGCCAAGATCAACCAGCTTAAGGTGGGACTTGAATTCATGGTCTCTTGCTTTCTAACCTGGCATCTTAACCAATAGATCAGACTGGCTCTGTTGTTAATATGTTGAAAGTTAGTATGTTGTATAAACCCAGTCACTGGATCTACACTCAAAATGCAGTGTTCTCTGACTCGATATTCTCCAGATGTGCTGGAAACACAACTCCTAGCCAGAATATTACCTCACAATCAAATAACACCAACCAATGTGGGGACGGCTGAACTCCTACTATAAATAAATCAGTAGATTCAGTGGTTATGGATACATCTCAAAGGAATACTATTGTTTTGTTTCTGCCTGCCTCCCTTCCTATTCAGGCTTTTTCTTTCTCCTAAGTGCCATTAATATAAACTAAGGAAAAGAACTACAAAAACAATTCTTACCCTTTAATTCTGCCCATGTGCAACATCTGCTTTTTAAACTTCACAGATAACCTTTTGCAATGCCAGTTCTGAAATGGCAGGCTCCATGTTTCATGAAATGTATCAACTCTCTGCCTAAGAACTAATTAATTTCTATATTTTCTATTCCGTAGACTGGTATCTGATAGTAAGAATAAATAAGTGACAGAATGAAATCTATCTCTGGGAAGGTAGGACATTAGAAAGAGTCAGATTTCAGAAGTTGTAGCCAAATCAAAGCTTCAATAATTTATTTTGTTCCTGCATCTATGTATCTAGCTTCTTTTGACAGGTTTCTGACAATGAATCCTTCAGTGGCTTAACTATTTTTCAGAAGCCAGGTTATTATCATCCTTCCTGTTACTGTTAGAAGAAAGTCTAAATCTAGTAAATAAAAAAACTAACAATGACAGAAGTATTTTGTCTTTCTTAGGATAATTTTTAAAAATTAATGCTAACCACAACAAGTGATGATATACACAAAATGAATCAAGAGAAATAGACCAGGTATGCATTCTTAATTTTCTCCAACAATCAACTAAAATATTCATAGCACTTCAAATGCATTGCCTTGACAACCACCTAAGAAAATTAAAGAGAAGCCTCTCTTCCTGAATTATCACTCTAAAAATCTCACACTTGTTATTTCCATTTCCTTTGGAAGCTTGATATACTGTACACACTCTTGTGTCAGGAAAACTATCCTGCTTAGTCCCCAACTCATTTGAACATCTCTACGCCATTCCCTATATTAAATAAACCACAGTAATATTCTAAGCCTAATAAACATATTTATGGCTTCGCCCCAGCATAATCTGTGAATTTAACACTATTTTGAGAGAGCAAAGTGGTTTTGAGGACTGCCTCAACTTTAACATGAGCAGTAAAAATTAAACATGTGTCATTTCTCCAGGCACTTAAAAAATATGTATTTATTTAAAAGTAATGCATTCTGTCATTAAATTCACATGACAGAATTTTCTGGCTCTTAAATTATCAGAACATTGTTATAAAAATTAGAAAGCAGATAAAAGAGAGCTACGCTTATACACTCACATATTCCTGTTACGGAAGCTGTGAAGTGGGACTTACTTCTTAAACAAAGGGAATCCACTGCTCAGACATCAGAGTAGAAACTTTTTAAACTGGCACACACTCTAGTGGCAAATTCCAGTCTTTACAATCCTCCCAAAGCTGAAACAAAGCTGTAGTTGTTACCTTCTCTTCATAATTTGGCAGCATATCTTTGCTTATCGTTATTATATCCATCCAAGAATACTTCTTCTCCTTACGAATTTTTGCTAATTCTGGGTCGGTCTCGTAGTTGTCAGCATCCAGCTACAAAATGAAAAAAGGACTGTCTTGGTTCATTTATTCAAAACAAGGTAACCGGCATTCTGGTGTACAAGGAAATTAAGTTCTCTCTAAAGCAGTGGTTCTCAACCTGTGGGTCGGGACCCTGTTTGGGGTCGAACGATCATTTCACAGGGGTCGCCAAACAACGCAGTCCGCCATATTTTTCCCCTTTTCCTTAGCTGTGCTACTCCCTTTTATTCTATTGCCTTTTCAAAGCCAATAGAATAGACTCTCTTGAATAGAGTCTAATTCTATTGGCTTTCAAAAGCCAATAGGAATTGTCCAGGCTGTCTCTGCCCTGCTGAGCCCACCAAAAGTCCCATTCTGCAAATGGTGCTGCACCAGTTGAGTAGTTCTCGACTTACGACCGGTTGAGTAGTCCTCAACCTACGACTGGTTGGGGGTCGCGGCATTAAAAAGGTTGAGAACCACTGCTCTAAAGCAGTTTTTCATGCTGAATTGAAGAAGAAATAGGGCTAAAAAATGGCTTGTTTAAATGTGATTATGCTTCACACACAATTAAAAATTGGGTCACCTAAGGCTCGGCACAACTAACAAGATTTTGCAATCATAATAGTTTACATCTATTTATTGCCAGGAGACTTTCCAAAGATTTAACACGCAACCTTGCAACTTTCTTCTCTTGAAAGCTCACCAGTGTGTCTTTAAGAAGGGATGAAACATTTGTCAAAAAATAAAAAAAAGTGGTCAAGAAAAAAGGTGAAATATTCAGTTTGTTTAGATAACCAAGTGTTTTTCATCCTTTTGTAACTCTTGAGGTTGATACAGCACAATACTAATTCAGTAAAGTAAAACTGTCCTAATTATTTCCTTTGGATAAATAATTTTAACCACAGATGCATGCATGGACTCTTCCAAGTCATGCAAAGCATCATTTTTCCTGATTAGGTGAGCATTCATGTACTGATATATTATCCCACGATTCTGCAAATAACCCCATCCCATCAGCCTAATCATATGAATGGATACACCTTGGCTTCAGAAGAATCCCACAATTTAAACATTAATCTAAATAAGTACATGGATCAAGGATCATCAGAATTGCTTATTTAAAGGATAAAGCCTCTTCAGAGATTAGCAATAATATTCTTATTTTCTAGATCATTTTGATTCTTCAGAAATAAGATTATGACAAAGCCAGCGTTGTAATGTCATTATTAAGTTTTCCAGAGAAGGGGAAACAGCTACATCAAGAGTTTTAAACCCTTGCAGACTTCTGGTTTAATGTCATGGCATGATGGATGCAGGAAGATGGGGCTCCATCTTCCACGTTCGATTTTGCCCCGCTGGGGACCCTAAAAAGGATTGAAAGTCGCCCCGGAGAGGTGACGAAGGAGGGGACCCACTTTGATCACAGAGGGATAGCATCCCTTCTTGTTTGATCTGAGGAAGCCCTCCAAACCGGCGGGGGGAAAGACTGGCTACAAGCTGCTGACAACTGAAGGAAATAAGCACTAACGAACAACTTTTGAGTAACGTGGATGAAACTGGGTGAGACTCTATCCTCTCTTTATAACTTTAAGACCTTTTCCTGGAAAAAAGGAAGCTATTTAATTAATATAAATGGGCTGAGTGTTCTTCCAAAAATACTTTAATCAAATTGTATTTCTTACTTCAACCATATACACAAAAATAGGGGAAGAACTACTTGAGGACTCAAATGCATTGACTTGGAAAGTTAATTGGTAAAGGAAGAAAGCCAGAGTAAGAATGAAGAAAATAGAGGTTTTTTACCCATTAGAGGGGATATAATATTATTAAATAGATGTTTGAACATGGCTAGGAGAATAGATAATTGTTAGAAATAAAAGTATTACTATAACTAGAAAGAAAGGATATGCAATTAGAATACTATATTTTGGTATGAGAAGGGAAATATGAAAACGCCAAGAGGGTCTGAATAAGGGAAACTTTTGGTTACCCAAATATAATTTACTATGAGAAAATTATAAGCAATAGAGATGGGATATTATATTATTAAACAGGTGTTTGAATATGGTTAAGAAAATAGATAACTGTGAGAAATAAAAGTATTATTATAACTAGAAGAATAGGATTTCTAACAAGAATATTATATTTTGTTATGAGATGGGAAATATGAAAATTCTAAAAGAGTTTGAATAAGGAAAGCTTTTGGTTACCCAAATATAATATATTATGAGAAAATTATAAGTGATAGAGATATTTTGAACATTAATGGGATTTAAAAAAAAAAAAAGAAGCACCGAAAACAGGATATTGATGGAACAAATGGATTTTAAGTGCAAATACAATTGCACTTTGGCTAGAAAAGATATTATAAACTGACATTATTGGTATTATGTATAATACCAGAAAAATGTGATGAAGATGTCTATATTTAATTATGTTTGTATTAACAGTAACAAGAATTGTATTTGCCCAGTGTGGAAAAATGCCACCACAGGAAGAAGAGAAGATCAAAGATGCACTGGATGGTATAGTATTGGAACTATACTGAGAAAGTTAATATGTACCACTGAATTACCAATGAACCCAGACAACACCTTGTTTATTAAATATTTATGATTGTAAAATTAGAAAATAAAATGTTTACAAAAAAAAAAGAGTTTTAAATCCTTAAGTCCTTCCCTGGATTTCCCTCAAGGCAGCTTGCCATCACTAAGAGGGCAGATTTCCAAAACAATGAAATTAGCTTTAATAGAGAAAGCTGCATGAACCAAGCAAACCAATGAGATTAAGTTTAAATCCTGACAAGACTAAAAGGACTATCCTAGCATATTTATCAATTTTTGATACTGCTCAGGTATCCATACTAACAGTACCTGTGTTTGCCCTCTAAAGGTAATAGCTCTACTTTAAAGGAACGAGTGGCAGTGTAAAACTGAGTACAAATGCATCTGTCTTGCCCAGGTCATCAACAGATTGCCCTGGCTTTTCTAATGCAGTTTTCTTGTTTTCTAGATGTGTTGGATTTCAATTCCCATAATCCTAAACCATAATGACCTTCTATTACCGTAACTGAAATCCAACACATCCAAAGGGAATCAGGCTGACAAAAGCTATTAGAAGGTAACAACCTTCCAATATTTAAGGTGTATAATAAAGAAACAACCAGAACAAAGGTGCAGGAGATTTTGGATTTTTTTTTTTTAAAAAAATGGGTCTTTAAGGTTTACCTGTTAAATTAGCCAATTCCACCTAAATAAATACAAATGATTGATAAATGATTAGGAAAATAGGACTTCATACTTGGAGCCATAAAGGGCCTTGCATATCCCAAAGATACCAAAAATAATACTGCTGAGAGGCTACATATTCTCATAAAGGTCATCCATTGTAAATAGGCCATATCCAAAGGGCTAGATTAAAAGAGGAACAACAGATCTACTGTAGAAATCACAGGGAAAATATGAGTAGGTGTCCTTATTACTAAAACGGTACCAAAGTCAATGTAGTTAGTAAAGTTAGTGTAGTAATGTTAGTTTATTTTTAAGCATGACTAAACGATAGAATGTTTTCAACTCCAAGACAAGCCATTCAACATTTCAGGGATCTGCGTCTATGCTTCAACCACAGATATAGTTGATATGATTAAGTCTAAGCCAACTTGCAACATCGACTTGACCCCACACCTAAAAAAGGTAAATTAACTATACACTAAAGCACTATCATTACACTAACAATAATAAGAACAGTTGGCACTGGGTACACAAAACCAAGCAGGAGACTGACTGACAGATTTTTGCCAAGAAAATCCAGCATTCATAACAAATACCTGTAATGTTCTATATCAGTGTTTCTCAACCTTGACAATTTTAAGGCATGTGGACTTCAACTCCCAGAATTCCACAGCCAGCATTGCTGGCTGTGGAATTCTGGGAGTTAAAGTCCATATGCCTTAAAATTGTCAAGGTTGAGAAACACTGTTCTATATAATTATGTGGTGAACATAACGAATAAATGTCATGGGTTGGATTTGCTAAACATGCCTGAGGAACTGAGGACTGAAATTCATGACATCATTAAATATGAAGCACACAGGTAGTCCTCACTAAATGACCACTCATTCCACCACCTCCAGATGACCTTTGCCATCTTCTTCCTCCTGCTGCTGACCAGGTGTGATCAGCCTGGCCCTTCACAAGGCAGCTGCAGGCTGCAGAAGACCTTTTTCCAAAGGCCACACACGACCTTCTTGAATGCCTTCCAGGGTCAGCAACTGTTTAACGAAGGGCCAGGCTGGGTGCACCTCATCAGCAACAGCAGAAAAGGACAAATGTCAGCTGGGAACAGCAGAAACAGCGAAGTGGAGCTTTCATTCCCTCCTGGCTGTACTCACTGGGCCGCCACAACCATTTTCCCACCTGCCAACCTGCTTGTGAGTTGCTGAGAACTCGCAACCTCCTAACAGCATCCCGAGTAACTTTGCTTATTGGAAGCCCCAACTTGTGAGGAGATCCTTGCTTAACAACCTGCAATTCTCACTTAAACAAAGGCAATGGAGACTGTTGTCATTGCTACACAACGTGGTCATGTGACATTTTCATGACAGCATCACTTAGAAACGAAAAGTCCGATTCCAGTTATCAATAGTATCAAAAGCTGCTGAGAGATCAAGGAGCAAAAAAATGGCTACACCACTCCAATCCCAGCTCCACCACAGGCCATCCACAAACATGAGCAAAATTGTCTCTGCATTAAACCCCCGTCTGAAAGCCAATCGAAATGAGTCCAAATAATCTGCTTTCTCCAGGCCCTCTGGAGCTAAAGACAAGATTGATCTGCATGTGGATTAGAGAACAAACAAAAGTATATGATATCCTCAAGCCGGTAAAAGAATTGAAATGGAAATGGGCCGGTCACATAGCAAGAAGAATTGATGGCAGGTAGACTAAGGCAGTCATAGAATGGATCCCACTTGATAAAAAGAGAGACCTAAAACAAGATGGAGCTACAACATTAGCAACTATTGTGGGCCCAACTGGCAAAAGAAAGCTCAGGAGTGTATAGGTTGGAAACATGTGGAAGAGGCCTTCATCCTACAGTGGATAGGCAATGGCTAAAAATGAATGAAATGAATACATGATATTCTTCTGGTCAACTAAACAGAACACAAAATGGACCTGCAAAGGTGAATTTTAATGTATGAAAGTTTACACTACACCATGATAAATTTGTCAGATGTTAAGTTATCAGCAGACATTATTAGTGATGCTAATGATTACTGTTATTAATAATTGTATTTGTTTTGTATATTTCCTTTCATGACCCACTAAGTCCCAGAGAACTAAAGCAATGATCTCATTGGATAAATTAGATTCAAAAAAGGCCAAGAGGCCCGACTCACACAAGAAGTTTCACCAGGTCAGCAAGTGACTGAACTGGCAATATTGTACAGTGAACAATCATAAGTAGGCTGTGTTTTGTGTGTCGGGTGTTGTGAAACCCAGAAAACGGGGCAACTGCAGGCCCTAAACGTAGAGGGGGGGGGCCTTCCAAAGCATTATTTAAAATTTGAAGATGATCGGGTTTTTTCATTAAAACAAATGCCATCCGTTAAAGCAGAACTTGCAGGACCTGTCGGTTTTTCAAGACGTGAGAGATTCCCCTGTACGATCTCCATAACTGGACTGCTTATTTTTAATGCATTTTTTCAGGGGATAAGGGGAAAAAGAAACGTTACACCAAAGGAAAAAATAAATCGCAGCGGGGGAAACCAGCGAGAAAACAAGCCCGGGTATGTGAGCGTGTGGGTGAGAAAGAGAGAGGTCCAAGATGAACATTTTTTTTCCCACGGCCTCTCCAAGGTTTTAGCAAGCCCCGGTTAACTCAAGAACGAAGCGCGCTGCCTCAGGGCGGCTGGTGTGCTCAGTGGCTAAGGGAGGATTCGGGTCTCGGCCCTCCCAAGCAAGGCCTGAGAAGCCCTGCCCGCCACGGAGCACGAGTCGGTCGCGTATGTCTCGGGCTGCCCCAGCCTGGTTTCGCGCAAGCTCGCTGCAAACGGAGCCAGACACCGGGCACCTTTTGCAAGTCTCGGATGCGGCCCGCCTCCCTCCTCCTCCTGCTCGGCCTACTTTCCAGTAGAAGACGCCCAGCCGGCTCAGCTGCTCTAGGCTGACCGGCCGCTCCGGCTCTGGGCGATGCGGCTTCCGGGGGTCCTCCCGGGAATCGTCCATATACCAAGCCTCCACCATCGTCCCCTGCCACCGAGGCTCAGCTCCCGCCTCCCGCGCCGCCTCCGACCAGGGCCAAAGGGAGACGCCTCCCCGGCCCGCCCCTCGCCGCCCGCAAGGACGCCGTGCCGGTTTTCCTGGCCTGGAGCTGGCGCGCTACATCCTCCAGGACTCCCTGACCTAAACTCGGGACGACTTAACTTCCAAGGGCGGTAAACGAAAGTCTGCCGTTTGCTACGGCAGTGAAGATTCCCCTCCAGGGCTTTTGCAGAAGAAGGCAGAGCCCAGACATTTGCACTGGAGAAGCAGCGCAGGGCTTTCCGTCCGTGCCTAAACACAGTTGCAAGTCCGGGTTTGAGCATTTCGTATCATTCCCTCTCCCCCACCCAACATCCATCGCGAGTTGTGTTGTTTGGCCTTCGCTTTGTGAGGTGTGCTGCGGGAGGGGAGGGGTAGGAGGGGTTCACCTCATGAGGCGTGTTACCTCCTTGCAATTGCTTCTTTTGAGGGTTCCTTGAAAACAGGTAGTCCTCGACTTATGGTCATAATTGAGCCCAAAATTTCTGTTGCTAAGTGAGACAATTCTTGAATGTCTGTGAAGATTCTCAATTTTCCAGGTCATGGTTGTCCCAAAGGTGCTTTTTCAAGAGGCAACGGGACTTTCTCGTTTTTCTTTGAAGATGTTTTGCTTCTCATCCAAGAAGCTGCTTCTTCAGAAGAGCTGAAGAAGTTTCTTGGATGAAAAACGAAATGTCTTCAAAGAAAAATGAGAAAATGCAATTGCCTCTTGAAAAAGCACCTTTGGGGCAATTGTTAAGTGAATTTTACAACCTCTCTTGTCATAATCGGTAAATGAATCACTGCAGTTGTTAAGGTAGTTATGTGGTTGTTACCTGAATCTGCCTTCCCTGTTGACTGCTTGTCAGAAGGTCACAAAGGATGATCACAGGACCCCGGGACACTGCAACCGTCATTATTATGAGTCAATTGCCAAGCATCTGAATTTTAATCACGTGACCAATGCAGATGTTGCAATGGTCGTAAGTGAAAAATGGTCAGAAGTCACTTTTTTTCAGTGCCATTGCAACTTTGGCCACTAAATGAACTGTTGTAACTCAAGGTCTACATGTAATTTAAAAAAAAAAAATCAGAATGAAGCAAGCAGAACTGGGCACAGTTACAGTATATATGATTACCCAATCATATATGATACCTGGCCATGAGAGGTATCATTCTCCAGGTCTCTCCCAGCTAACAGGTTTCCCCATCTGGCAAAGCAAAATTCCAGTGGAAGCTCTCAGGCAAGGAGAAGGGAAAAAGAGATACCTGGAAAAAGTTTTCTCTGATGCAAAAAGAGACAGCACCAGGCACTGGACAAGGGAGATTTCTAAGCCCCAAGAAAAAGATTTTTCTTTCCCAGAAGATGGAGAGATATTTAATTCCTTTCTTCCTGGAAAGAACTGAATAGCAGAAGGTAAGGGATGAAGGAAGAATGTAGGCTGTTTAAATTAGTGAAGGGCACAAAAGGGATTTTGAAAGTCTTCCACAACTGTTTGTTGAGGGCAATTCTTATAAAATTCTCCAGGGCAGAAAAGAGTTTCCTAATAATTTCTCAACAGCAGGATTCCCCCTTGAGTGCTAAGAGTACCACCTCTACGGAAAAAGCCTCTCGGGAAGCATTCCACATGGTGGCTTCCCATGGGAATTCAGAGATGTGTGCACCACAACAATGGAGCTGCAAACCGTTGGAAAGACAAATGAACAATGGACTGTAGGATGATCAAACGTAGTCCTTGGCCGCCTGGGATGGACAACTTTTGAGCAGATGTGGATCCCAACCCAACCTCCCAACCTTTTGGATTACTAAAGGAAGCAATAAGGGTGTGGCTGAAAATATTCAGCATGTTGGACAGCACCACTTGAGAATGGAGAATGGCTTTAAACGGGCAACCCTCTCCCATTTTTGTTCTTCAAACCATCCATCCCAGGAACCCAAAATCATACCTGGAAATTACGGCAAAATCACTGAACTTCAGCAAAGTCTTTTTTGACTGTTTGGGAAGGTTACAACTAGGTCATAGTTATCCCAAAGATCCTTTTTCATGAGGCAACTGAACTTTCTTGTTTTTCTTTGAAGATGTTTTGCTTCTCTTCCAAGAAGTTCTTCAGCTCTGAGAAGCGAAACGTCTTCAAAGAAAAACAAGAAAATCCAGTTGCCTCGTGAAAAAGCATCTTTGATTCAAGTGATATACTATACTCTCGGGATGCTGAAGGCTGCATGCCTTCTTCGGTTGCTCTTCCCTCCCATGACTATTGAGGATGTGCAGGAGAATTTCTTGCTGATACTATTTCAAGCCTTTTGGGTGACACACTTTTAACAAAAGAATAAATGGAGCAAACATATTCTAAGAAAAGCAACAAGAATAATCAGGGAACTGGAAATTAAATCTCATACTGGGGAAACTGAGTCTATTTAACCTTGAGAAAAGATGACTGAACAAAAAGATGCAAAAATACTTTCAAGTACCTGAAGGGGCGTTACACAGAAGAAAAGCAAGACCTGTGGGGGTTTTTTTTGTTTTGTTTCAGAATGAGAGTATGGAATAATGGATTTAAATTATAGGAAAGCCTTCTGACTAAATGTTAGGGAAAGATTAAGAAAGCAGTTCCACAGAGGGATCAATTACTCAGGGGATGAAAATCAAAATGCATCTGGTGAAATGAGCTGCAGTTCGTAAATGCTTCTGCTTTTTAATAAAATAAGTTAACATGAAAAGATGGCACCAGACTCTTGAGTCTTGGCTACCACAGAGTAACACAGCTGTCTTCCTACTTGATGGTGTTGGGTTCTCCCTTATTAGATACGTTTAAGCATACGCATATGTAAAGGCCTATCTCTCTGGAGAAGCGATGGTGCTAGAGAAGATGGGAGGAAAGAGAAAAGGGTGACCAGGAGCAAGGTGGATGGACTCAGTTACCATGGCACGGATGCACTTTTGGAAGACCTGAAGTGCCAGGTAAGGGACAAGGTTTTAAGCCCTTCTTCAAGGGACTGAAAACACAATGAAGCAGCACAGAAAATACTTTACCCATTATGTACTCCCACCCTATTTCTGTTCTTAGCCAACCTTGAACAAAACTTGGAAATCCTTGAATCTCCACAAGGCACATTTCCGTTACAATTAGGACTTCTTAAACATGTTCAGGGAGGGAGATTCATTTTGGGGCATCCATAGTAGGAAATAAACTCTGCTTCATTCTGTGAGGCTTTCTTCTGATTGAGTTGACACACTATATTCCCTATTCCCCAATATTTACATACAGTACAATCGAAGCTAAGATCTGCAACCTTTAAGTGCTGCAGGCTTTCACAATGAAAGCAAGGGTGGAGGCTAGAAGCATTCCAAGAGACAGAAGCCGGGTAGATGTGATGCCAGAGGACGAGATCAGATTGCATCCCTTCGCAGAGGAGAATGGTGCATGTCAATGTTTGTGTCTGTTTGATTCCATTTCAGATAAGCAGTCAAGCAGAAAGCTTGTTTTCATCTTGGGTCTCCTTCCAGAAGAAAATTTGGGTAGCATTATCGCCTTTTCATCTAGCAGGGAAGAAATGGAGCATGTTGCCAGTCTGTGTAGAACCCCAAGAATTTATTGTGCTTAAGGCTCAAGCCACAGATACACACTTCGCCTTGAACATTAAATTCCAGACAGACACCGCTCACAGCTGGAGCCTAAGGAAACACCAAATGTTGCGTCTTCGTTGTGTTTGCTTCTTTCTCAATTATTTTTAATTTAGCTCCCCTCTTGCTTATGGATTTCCAAGCATATGCCAAGCACAGCTTGCCACGTATCAAATGGTTTTTAGTTTGCTGGTGCATCCAAAACTGACACAGGGCAGGATCAGAAGCAATCAGCAGGCTTTTTCTAAACTTGGCTGCTCTCACGGATGCCTCCAGGCCTGCATTTTCTCCAGCTCCCAGGACTGCAGGAAATGCACCTCACGAAGTGCTCCAGCAAATCAATTCTGAGTCAGATGCTGCTCTCAATACCCCCTCAGTCCCTCTAGGAAAAACTGAAGGAATTTCTTCTAAGCTAAGCAGGCCAGTGGGCTGTCTGGAAAAGACAGATAGGCAGAGAGAAAATGAGTTCTAAAGGTGCAGGTAATGGAAGACTTTGTTAAATGGCTCAGCTCTTGCTGGAAGACGGGATTGAGTAGCTGAGCAACAGCTGTCAGCATTAGGCTATCTGATTTTTCTTCTAGTTTCGTAGCTCGAGCGATGAAAGTTAAATGGTGCAAGCAGTAAGACTTTTAGGCCAAGAGTTTTAGAAATATAAATATTATTTGAACTTTAGCTTTCACAAAATTCAGAATCTTACAGCTCTTGTGAAAATTGATGCACTTACCACGGCATCAGCTTTTGGGGTCTAAAGCCCATGATATAATGTGCCTGAGAGTTAACAGGTAAATAGGTGATTGCCAATGATGCCTATTCTCAAATGAAATGGAGACTTTGGTGGAATGAATTTCCTTCTTTTCCTTACAGCTCCCATATATCTGTCCAAAAATGACTCCAGACTATAAGGGAAATAGTCGGAACAGATACAGGTACAAGATCAAGAGAAGTAATCATTTATTTCTTTTCTGTATGATCAGATTTTACTTAGACTACAGGTAGTCCTGGACTTATTGGGACACAATTGAGCACCCACTGTGGGAATGGCTGGTGAATGCACGCATTCTCCCCCCGCTCACGCTAGCGCCACCATGAGGGGCTAGCAGCCACGTGGACAATAGGGATCCCATTTGTGCATGCGTGTAGAGGCTAGCATTGCCTCCTTTTCTCTCCTGGCTGCCAAACAGGAAAGATTGGGGACCTCTGTTCTAGAAGACAGAAACAATGGTCAGAGTTAAAATGGAATACATTTTGCTTGGGCATCAATAACAATTTCATACTGATAAATCCTATACAACAATGCAACAGGCTGTCTGAAGAGGTGATGAACCCTACTTGACTCAAGGCTCAAATAGGCTGGATGGCCATCCATTGGTGATTCCAAAGAAATGGATCCCTG